AGCATTGCCGTCACTGTAGTTTTACCGTGGACCGATGTCAGCACGCGAACTTGCTTCGCCCCCTTCTTTTCGGCGGTTGTGGTGCCAGGCATGTCGAAGTAAAGAGGTGTCTGATCGGCATTCCCAATTTGCCCAAGCAGGTAGTCGTTGTTGTGCCGCAAGTTTAGGACGAATCTCTGAAAACTGTTAAGCTTATCATCGTACTCCTCCGCAAAATTTTTCGCATATGCCCGTTCCCCTTCGGAGGGAAAAGCCTTTCCTCTTCATAAAGTTAGTTAGCCAGCACCTGCTCGCTTTAAACTGGCTCTGCATTAGACCTTTTTCTAAGGCTAATTGCATAGCCCGCACTTGGAGCAGTTCCTTCGTCACGGGCCGCTGTGCCGCTCGCTGCTCAAGCACATACTCGCCGAGCAGCTCTTTAATTTGCGGAAACCGGCCCTGCTGTTGTCCACTGAAGCCTTTGCGTGAAGCTTTGCTGTCAATCTTCTGCTTTTGTTACCGCCGGTCCCGCACGCACGTTTCGGGAACTCCGAACGACTGCGATGCGGCCCGATTTCCGTGTGTTTCTGCACACACGATGACTTTTCTTTTAAAAGCGGCATCGTGGTGCACTCGAGTTTTTGGAGTCTGCCCTTCCACGCCGTCGATGCTAATGCACTACAAGATGACGAACTCCTCAGCACACTTACGAAGTGCCGCACATGGGAAACACGTAGGCAGAAATGGCCGACGCGCCATGCCGACGCACGTTGGGGCGGCCATTTTAGAAATGCCGATGGCAATAGGTTTACTGTATTCATTTTTTTTTTCGTACTCGATTCTAACGCGCATGCGATTTATGAACTCGCTTAACCTGAAAAAAGGTGCGCGTTAGATTCGAGTAATTATGGTACTTTCTTCACGTTTACATCATATGTAGTTACAGTTGAACCCCTTTATAAAAGACACTGGTGCTGCAGACAAATGCATGTTAGGGACACCAGTGTGCCTACATAAAAACACCGGTGAATAAGAAACTGGATGCGTAATGCCCTGCTTATAAAAGACAAGAATTGCTCTCCGGTGCATGTCTCCTATGAAGGGGCTCAACTGTGCTACAAAATAACATCCCCTATACTTTCCTTGGCTTTCTTGTCTGTTAGTTCCAATTCCATTGTTTCTGTTGCGTGTGACATTGATAGTGTGTACTGTTGAGGAAGCTTATGCACAATGCGTTCTTTCCTCTTTCCATTCCCACAGTCGACTTGTGTCGGCCGAGCCTTCGGCTTGGGTGGGCGCCGGCGTCGGAGCTGCAGCAGCGGCGCTCGTTGGAGTACTTTTGATTCGTGTGCTGCGGGCATCAACAAGAGACAGGTTAGTAGTAACGTGGAGCCCTGGGATTAGCGTGTAGACTAGGCATGTGCAGACATTCGAGCACTACGAATATTCAGACAGATATTGCAGTGTTCGAATTTGCTTCGACACGAACTTAAATGATCCGAAATTTCGAAGTACTATTCAAAATGAACAAATAGACACATGTACACTAGATCTGTGCAAATTACAAAATTTTGGATGCGAAGCGAATTTGAATATTGAATTGTGAATGTGAATCGACTATTTTCTGAATATTTCAAAGTATTTCTAAAATATTTTTCAAATACGTCAAAGTGGAATTGCCGTAATTGTTTGGTCGTTTTCTTCACCACACCCACAACTAGCCTTTGGCTATGGGTCCAACGAGTTTTTGGTAACATAGCGTGTTGTAAACACTTGAGAATATTGAATTCAAACTTGTTTGATAATATGGTGGTTGTTGTATAATATTATGTCGTTAATTTCTTTGTTGCAGGTAACAGCAGTTTCAGTCGCACCACTGCCATCGTCGTCAGTCCTCGTCGAAGTCAAGAGCAGCTTCTCTTTTTTTCCTGCTTTTTTTTAGTAGGTTCTACTTGAACTTTGACCCTAACTTGTGCCAGGGGCCAAGAGTGCCTTGGTGCTGCTAGGGCCATGTTGCATACATATTAAAAAAAGAGAGAGAGAGTTTCTAGACATTTTCTGGCCCCTGTTTTCTTTTGTGGTGTTCATGTAGCGTGGTCTGCATTTGGTGGGAAAACAGCTTATCAAGTATTCTTCCAAAAATGGCAAAAATACTCTAGATTATAGTACTCTTTTATCAAAATATGCATTCAAGCCTTGTTATAACAAAATTGCAGCTAGCACAAAAGTATTTCTCTTATATCCAAATTTTTTTATAAATGTATTTTTGTTACTTTTTAGAAACGTTTGTTTGTTTGCTGTAGTACCTGATAATTTGTTTCAACCTGTGATTCATTATATCAAGCTTTGAATGTGCTTGCTTAATTAAAACAACATGTCAAACTCATTTCTTACATCTTAAATTTAAGGTAATTTGGAAGTTGTGTTCCTTCAGACGACAAATACAATTTTAGACAGATTAAAAGTGCACAATACTGAACACCTCATCATTTAACGTTGCTACACTATTACAGTGGCTGAAAGTCCAAGAAGTACTTATGTTAACGTTTCGTGATACTCTCAACAACAAAAGCAGCATGATTTATTTGATTTTACGCTTATTAGTGCAGCCGTGTGTTTCAGAAGTCGGCTGTCCAGATTTTTATGGAGAGAAGCACTGGAACGTGGTCTGCATTGCTTGGCCAATGTCCTCGATATATTCTAAATGTCACGCTTAAGATAGCAGTACCTGCTATAATACAAATGTAACAAACCACACAAGAACAAAGCTGTCCTAAAAAGAAAAAAAAATTGCAGTCTTTAATAATAATAATATCAGGGGTTTTACATCCCAAAACAAAATGGTTTGAAGGCACACCTTGGTGGAGGGCTCTGGAAATTTTCACCATCTGGTGTTGTTTATCGTGCATTGACGTCGCTCAGTACACGGGCCTCTAACATTTGCCTCTATCGAAATGAAACCGCCCGGGCAGAGATCAAAACTGTGACGTATGGGTCGGCATCAGAGCATCGTCACGACTACACCACCGCGGGAGACCAATTTGCAGTCTTTTTTAAGTACCTCCAGATCTTAAAAATTGATGTTAAAAGCACGGTTCTGCAAGTTGTGGAAAAGGGAGTAACCCATTACAATTCCGTTGCCTAGAAAATGTGAATATATCAGTTATCTCTTCTGTGAACGCCCGAGAAAGTAATTGAAGGTATCATTGAAAGGTAACCGGTTCTTTCTACATTGCTTCTCACCGAACTTTTGTCAGCTTGGTCTAAATGCAGTAGGGAGATCAAGTTGGCCTGGCTGTCTCACTTGACAACTTGCCTTCATTAACAACTACTAATTTTAAATTTTTACTGCGGTCATCTTTTCTTTATTTTTGAGTCTCGGCAGCAGCGCTATATATGCCATCTAAGTGAAAAAGCGGTGTTGTAATGGATAAAAATACGGAATGCTCACTGCTGTAATGCTCATATTTTCATACTCTATGAAGCACAGCTACCACAGCACTTTAAGGTTGCTACATGAACTGTCTATAAGGCTCTTCCAGTAGGACTGACAAAAAGGTGAGACTTTCACAAGAAAGCCCCATTAGCACTGGTTCAACTAATTGTTCATCACCTAGTGAAGCATTACGATTCAAACAACTACAGGATGTCATTAGCCAGTTTTATCACAAAAAAGAAAGGGTAAGGCATACATAATGAATGTATAGCAGGCACATTAGACAACAAGGAGCACTGTGTGTTTAGACTAAATATGCCATTCTGTGCCATCGTTCTACCTGTGCTACAACAAATGGCAAGACAGCTATACTATAGTTGCTGAGAAATTCACTCATCGAAATTCATTATTAGTAAACATTTGTTGGACCGAGTTAGGTGTGACCCGTGTGCTGCATCTTGAGGTCGATTACCCAGAAAAACAATACGAATGCTGCTTAAAAGAACGTGCAAGCTAATAGGGTACTGTAAAATTTCAAAAACAAAAAGTGGGCCACTCTTTAGATCCATGTCTTGTTCCTCGGCAATAACTGTGTTCTATATCTTACATGCATAACTATACTCTTTTTGTGTTGCAAGATGAAGGGATGAATGAACTTTATTTAAAGTCCGGCAGTCTTTTTTTGTTTCTTTTTTCACCGGGCGAGGTGGGGAAAAGGGGGATTGACCCTGTCCCTTCCCCCGCTCCGTCGATTATGATGGCGGTGCCTCAGGTGACCGGTCGAAGTCCTTGTGCCTGAGCGGCATCTTCAGCTTGCCGGTCTTGGCATGGCTCTGCTAAGTGACACCAAGTTTTTCAATACAGAGCGTGTTCAGCGCATAGTGTAAAAACGAGTATATCCAAGATTTGTGATTTTCGCCGGAGTACAAGGTACGCCTATATGGGAGTAATATGCGTGTGAACTCCAGAGGGTGCGCGCTCGATATTCAAGCACAAATCCGCATGCTGTTAGAGTGGAGGAATTAACACATACAAGTGTAAAGAAATGTATGTCTGAAAAGAGATACCGCAGTGATACTTTTAAGATATCACTGTGATATCCCTTTGTAGTCAAGCTAGTGCTCAAAGGGAGTAAATATGTTTTTTTACGCTCGCATATTCCCTTGCATATGCCCCGAAGTACCATTCCTCCCTTTTCTCAACAAATGAGCTTTCTGAACAAATAAAAGTATGGAAGGAACCAGGTGACGGGACAAACATAGAGTTTCTCACAAATACTCTGTGGGGACAAACATTTCCTCCATAAACGTAATGGACTGACAGCTTTTGTTGAGAAATTAAGGAAACTTGAATGTACACTTGTGCGAGCACGCGCCATCTCAGCAGCTTACTGCGCACGCTAGAAATAGTGAACTTTACAGTGAGTGCGCCTGCAACTGTCATTTGCAACCTGTGGATTTCCTTTAGTAGCACTGGGAAATATGATTCTTTTGTTCCAAAGACAAAACTAAGCGCAGGCTGTTCAAGATTAGCGGTAATCGGATCGGTCGTCTGTCGACACTGTGCCGTATTTAAAGAACCGGCGCATGCTCTTCGGAGCCGCTTGGGGATCCGCTGCGCCGCTGTCCACCGGACTGCGACCCCAGGGAACCGTCCTTTCGCGTCCTTCACTGCGCCTTCAAAGAAGAAAAAAAAAGTAACAACAGTCCTCTGCTTCAAAAGCCGATTGCGCTGTCCACAGCGCTAGCGAAGTTTTGAGCAAGCATGGTTTACACTTCGAGAGCCTGCGCCGGCCTGGTAATTCATCTTCTCCACGTTTGCCGCGAGCTTTTTCTGGGTCACCCTTCGCAGGACCACGTTTGACCCGATCAAGATTCGATGCGAGCGGATCGTATTTCACGGTCTGCTGGAATCTTGAGGAGCGAAGACGTCGTGCTGTGCGTGTTTTGTTGTGATGTATGTAGAGAATTGCTGCTGCAGCACAAATGAAAGTTGTGCACGAGTTGCAGTGCTGAGTAGCACGACTCCAGGAGTCAGCAGCTTGCATTCTGCGACTGGAAATCAACAATGCGAACGAAATATTGCAATACCGATCGGCGGCTAAGTCTTCAGTTTCACCTTAACGACCCAAGTTGCAACGAGTGCGTCGCTAAACTACCGGACTTCAGTAGCGGTCAACGTGAGCGGCAGACCGGTTCTCCGCGATGCATTTCTCAAGTCAAAGCTTTGCTTCTGCAATGTTTAGGAGGACTCGAGTGCAAGTGCGTCGCACAAGTCTCCAGAGTCGTTTGCGTAAAGCTGAGCATGCAGCATCGCATAAAATTAACCGACCCCGCGCCGCGCCACGCCTACAGGTTTTCAGAGGTTGCTGGCCCCCTTTTGAGGGTCAGTTACTGCAGCCCCTTATCTGTCATTGTCGCCCTTATCTATTGCTCTCACTGCAAGAAAAGGGGAGTAGTATCCCAGATACGTGGTGCCCGCAAAGATGTGTTCTTTAAGATAGGATATTTACCTCCGTAAACGACGTCCTATTCTCTTCCAGCTGGCGCAGCGGCTGTTCATCCAATCTCGCTCCCTACATGTATCACCACTCTCCAACGCGGCTGCGCAGGTAAAGTATGTCTGACATTTTTAATTAGTCCAACCACAATGTGGTTTGAGTTTGCACGTCAGTGACAATAGTGCGATGTTTTATTTCGATGAAAAATATGACCTCCTGTCACGTTCTTGTTATTTAAAACGTGGTAACTTTACGATTTTCGGTTTTTTAGGGGCTACTCGCTTGCCCTCTTATGTAGGCTTTTCATTCTGCATATTCTAATGGAAAGTAAAATGTGGCTTTCCTACCCAGAGACTGCTTGTACGAATGATATCAGCTGTGCCTGATAGAATTTTGATAGCGTTGATATCAAGGCTATCAAAAATTAAACAGTTGACATGTGACAACTGTTTATTTTTGTATGCAAGCTAAGTCAAGATGCCACGATTTTCTATAATTCAGAACGTATTGTCCGTTTCTGCCATAACTATAACCCTGTAAGGTGAGCAAAACAATCTTAAAGCTTGAGAAACACAATTGTCTTGGACATCGGTTTAAGTTACTTGTATGAATCAAAGTACATCAGAAAAGTGTGGACACCTTTACAATCTATCAAAAGTAGCCAATTTTTAAAGGAATTGGCTTTGACTGCTGTGGCCGTGATGGAAGTTGGTTGTAATGTAAAAATAACAGCTCAACCTTTCGACTTCCATTTTACAAGTGGGAAGTTTTCCGAGAAGGGTACTTTCTCTTACGTATTGTAGATCGCCAGAAATCTGAGTGCTATCATAAATGAATTTAGTTTTGTTATAAAATTCGTAACGTTCTCTAGAGGCAGTTGTCACAATTAGATATTTTCATTTTGATTGGATGTTCTGTTCCAGGTTGCCATCAGCAGGTTTGAATCTGATCGCTACCTGCCATATGAAAAACTTGAAAAGAATTTGCAAGTTGTTCGAAAAAGGTATGTGGTGTGGGTGATGGGTAGTCGCTTAGCAAACAGTTTGCTATTTTGAGGCAGTCAAAGAATCTGCTGAAAAATTCTTCTCAAGGGGCTTAGCCGTGTAAAGCTAGTAGACTGTGAAGTCACGGAAAGCACAGAGCAAACTAACAGCTCGCCTTAATGGAATGCAGAAAGAATTGGGTAGTCAAAAAAGAAAAGGTAACTTACCGTGTCTTCCACAATATGCTTAACCATTAATCAACTGCAGTGGTCATAGTTCCACTTGCTACATCTTGTGTATTAGTGCATGTATTTAAAATTGGCCCTGGCAATGTGGTCCAGTTCTATGTGTGGCCATAACGACAAATATCAAATTGCCATTTAACTGCAGGCATTGCGTAACATGCCTGGGTCAAACATGCAAAACCGGTTTAAGAATGTAAGCTCTAAGTGTAAAGCTTCTTGTCTCTAAGGTGCTGGAATGTTCGACTGCTTTGTGCTGTAGGGTTGGGGGTCCTATTTTAAATACCGCTAAATTTTTGGGATATGTGAATGCTTTGCCGAATGTACACCGCAGAATTTCGCCGTATTCTCGAATCTCGTATAGGCAGCATTTTAGACCGGTCAATGCTGACGAGACGGCGAATCGGACAGCGTCTCGAGTGGGGCTTGTCAATTCCCAGACGCGATGTCGTGCCCCCTTTTTGAACTGATCGTTTAGCACCGATCAATCTGATTCGGAGCTAATGCCTGTCACGCAGGCTGAATCGGCCACTGACCCTCTCCGAGAAGATTCTCTACTCCCACCTGGATCAGCCCCAGGAGCAGGAGATTGAACGTGGCAAGAGCTACCTGCGGCTGCGACCAGACCGGGTCGCCATGCAGGACGCCACGGCACAGGTGCGGGATGTCGCTTTTGATTTCACTTTGATAGCTTGGACCTTTTTCTGTTTAAATGTGAGAAAAGCCAGTGAAAACTAAACGAGGATGAAGAAGGTGAATTCCAGTGGACACTGTCGCCGTACTTGCAATGAATTTATTTATGTATTCATGTATACTTAACACCTTATCCTGCACGCACGCTACAATCTGAAGTTTATAATCCGCTGGATAATCAGCCACACGTTGAATCAGCCACTTCTCAGAGGTGGCTCATTATTGGGTAGATCAAAGGCTTAATAATTAAGCCTTGTTACATAATGCTATCTGTGTAGGCCAGTTTATCATTTGTATTCACCCTGATGCTGTTCTTTTAAAAATTTTACAAATGGTACTATGAACTAGTAGTGTTGTAAGGTCACCTTTTGTCATACTCCTTCTTTCTGCATGAAATAGTGGAAATAAACTTGATTTGATTCTCATCATCGTAGAGAGTGCTAACGAGATGTGGGCGGGTGCATGTGGGAGGCGATAACTGCAGTTATTTATCATTTTGTGCGTTCTCTGATCTCTTTTCCAGATGGCCATGCTCCAGTTTATCTCGAGTGGCCTGAAAAGGGTAAGTGGGCATTTTTTTTTTATGTGAGAGGTGGCTGTTAAGCTTTCTCTAAATACCGGCAGTGCATGAAAGCAAAAAATGCTGGGCTCTGCCAATAGTGCCTCGTGGAAAAGCAGTGTTCAACGATTTTTTTTGTTGTTGACTGGCCGAGTGCTGTGCTGGGATTATCTTGGGGGTCATCGGGTCAATGGGAAGGGTGCTGATGTTATTTTTGCTGGTATATATGATGCTCACAAGTGAATACCGATGCATGAACAAGAATAATGTTGGTGTGCTATTCACTCCGGATTGCATGGAGAATTTTCTCGTTATAACCTCTCCCGAAAAAACCAACATGGCATCTTTTGCTAGTCAGTGCACTGCACTAGAAAAAGCAGTTTCTTTTTTCTAAAAGTCCTCGTTTGCAAAAAAAATCCCATTTTTTAATTTACATCAAGAATTGAGTATAAAACAATTTTGTAGCATGCATTGTTTCTGGACCTTGCATAGATATTAAGGAGAGCATATTGGACCGCATGGAGCTAAGCGCTGAGATGTGCTTAGTTAGTAATGAATTGAGCTGCAGGTTTATTTCGTTTAGTCCTCATTTAGTGTTTAACGTAGGACATTCAAAACATTCACGTTTCATTCCCCTCGAAAATCTGTCCCAATTGTTAGACACAATGAAATGAATACAGCTGACGATTAGGCCAGGGTAAGCATAGGAGCCATTAATTGTAGTCTTTAGTGTAGTAGTGATGACGTAAATCAAGATGAAGCAAAGTGAATAAAAAATCACCCTTTCCATGGGTGGAGTTTAAACCCACAATCTCAGAATTACGCAAAGCCCCTCAAATTGGCCCGTCAAGAAAATCCCCTTTCTTCTGCGGATAACAATTGTCTGTTAAGTTATCATTTTTTTAGTTTAGAAACAGACACATAACTGTTCCTATAAAAATGTTTCTAATAAAGCGTGCGTAAAGCTTACACATTGGCAGCCAATGTAGCGTTCCCCATTTTTCCTTCAGGTGGCAGTTCCGTCAACAATCCACTGCGATCACTTGATTGAAGCTCAAGTGGGAGGGGCCAAGGACTTGGCAAGAGCCAAGGTGGGGTGTTGCCTTGTTCAGTTTGCTTGTTTATCCCAATTAATACTTCTTTCTTCACTATCTTCGAAACACCGCAGGTGTACATGCACCATTGGCTTCAACCATGCTGCTTCAACAGAATCGCAGCACAGGCCTTGCAGCATGCTTATAAATGCACATGTACTCGCCAAGCATTACGCTTCAGGGCAAGTCTCTAACCGGAAAAAAAGAAAGAAAAGAAAAGAGACAAAGAAAAAAAGAAATGTAAAGAGTATATGAAAACATTGTGAGTAAGCCTAAATGCTCTGCTGTTTGATTTAATCTTCAAACTGTGTGGCCGTGTGTTGGCCTTACGGTCACATAGCGGCAGCCAGACACCCTTTCCAGTTTTTTCTGTGAAATCTTACCGCATTCTGTGCAAGAAAGGGAAGTTATTCGAGGGAGCACAACTGAGCCGTGGAGGCTGCACAATTACAGAAATACCTATAGTTGTTGTATCTTCTTTCGGAGCTCCTTACTCGCTTCTCTGTGCCGATTTCTAGCCGCGCCCGTGTCTCGCACAGCAGCTGCATAATAAAGCTGTAACTAGGTTATGAGACAGTTTTTCAAGTACCACTCGTTGGCGGGGCAGGCGATAGTAAAGAAAGCTTCACTCTGAAAGAAACCTCAATGGTCTGCCAATAGTCTTTTCTTTTGTCTGCGTTCCCTGCGCTAGGACCTGAACAAGGAAGTTTACAACTTTCTAAGCTCGGCGGGCAGCAAGTACGGCGTGGGATTCTGGAAACCCGGCAGCGGGATCATTCACCAAGTGAGTCGTGCGTCAGTCTGTGCAACTGAACATGCATGTTTCCTAGATGTACAAAACATTCTTTGTTCCATCCTTATTTATTGCTGTCTATCTCGCGTTGGTACGTCAGTAACGTCATGCTATCACACACTGTACAAAAAGAAAAACGGTAACAAGGGTGTCTTTTTATCCCACAACAGTATTTGTAATCTATCCTGTGTTCCTTTCCTCGCATTATTGCTGTGGGTTCGGCATTGCCTGCTCATGGGCAGCGTGCACGTTATGAGCTTTATTTGTTCTTTAAGAATGCCACGCTTGATAACAATTTTCTGGCCTTTTTTGCGAATGTCGAATAGTGCAGCTTATGGACCTCTCAAGTTGAGGACCAAGCGCTTGCAAATGTGCCGTGGTGTGAACGACGTATTCGGCTTACAAGCATGTTCAGTTCAAGCGTTTAAACGTGACCAGTTTAAGAAAACAAGTTCTGGGGGGCCGTCTTGCCTTTTGCAGTGATGTGGAAAATACATAGACAAAACTCCAAAGTTATTTGACGAGTTTCAGCTGACATACTATTAAAGAAAGAAACTGGACTTACACATGTCATGTCACGAGGACAGATGACCGCAGGTCAGTTAGGGCAGTAGAATGGATTGCAAGAGATTAAAAGTGGGACCTAGGATGGTAAAGGGTTACAGAAGAGATGAAATTTGGAGATGTAAATTGGTATCAGCTCATGTGGTACAGGGTGGTTCTGATACAATTGGGAGGCTTCAATCCTGCGTGGACATAGAATAAGCTCACGGGATTATGGTGATGATTGAATTCAATGTTACATTGTCCTGTGCCTCAATCACATTTGCCATACTTTTATGCAAGTTTCATAATAATATTTTATTTTCTGCCACCAGATAATTTTGGAGAACTACGCGTTTCCTGGTGTTCTCCTCATCGGCACGGACAGTCACACGCCAAACGGAGGTAAGTTGGGACCACTTCTTATTTCTGCATACTAGCACAACTTGTTTGGTTTTTTTAGGCTTGCTCGACAGTGTGCATAACTGTTGATCAACAGCATTAAATGCTTAGCTACTTCGTCTCTTTCATACGCAAGTTATTCAATGACTGGCCCTCGTATGCGCTTCCGCTACTATTGACATGCGAGGCCTCAACCTAGACACATTTTTTCCTTAATGCATCTGGATGAAATGATGCATTCATTAAATTGGGGCAGGTGTTTACGATCGCGTTCATAAAAAGAAATATGAGGAGATGATTGTTTGACCGACAACCTTTTATGCTCCCTAATCTCTGGTTAACACAGCCTTTGCACCCTATGTAGGAACGATGGCAACTGTTTGATTTTAACAGGTGGCCTCGGTGGCCTATGTATTGGCGTGGGGGGCGCCGACGCCGTCGACGTCATGGCCGACATTCCGTGGGAGCTCAAGTGCCCCAATGTCATCGGTGTCAAGCTGACTGGACAGATGTCTGGCTGGACGTCAGCCAAAGGCAAGTTGCTTGTTAGTATAAACAGATTCCAAGTGCAAGTACACTCGAACCTCATTATAGCAAATTTGAATCTTAGATGAAAATAAGTTTGTTAAATCAGAAAATTTGTTATAAAGGTTTGTTCTTAACACTAATTCTATTGCAAGACTATTTTTCATTCACTTCGCTATAACCAATATTTCGTTATATCCGGATTCGTTATATTGAGGTCTGAATGTATATAGTTTGGCTGAAGAGATCACCTATGTTCTAGATTGGTGATCACCTACGTTCCATACCCCGGTTAATGAAATATGGACTATAAAGAAGTAAATGAAAAATAGTCTTGCAAGAGAAAGTGTTAAGAATATACCTTTACAATGCATTTTCGGATATAGCAAACTTAATTTCATGTAAGATGAAAGTTTATATAAGTTTATATAATTCTGATTAAAAAAAATAACACTATAAACATATGTCATTTTGTGTAAACTTCATCATCAATGCCGTACTCTTGTTTTGTACTTTCACAGCTGTTAAATGTATGCTTCGTGAGAAAAAGTCAGGTCATAAAGACACATTTTTTGCAGTTTTTTTTAATGTGTTTTTAAAATTTTGCTTGTCTTTCTTGGTCTTTTGCTATAGTACTCACAAACTGAAAAATATGAAGTAACTTTATGGAGAAGCTATGTGATAAATGATTTTTCACTGCAACACAGACCATGTCATCACCAACCATAGACCATGTTCATGTCCTCTCGTGAATGACCTAATATTTCTCTGTGGCTGCTTGCTCGTGCAGATGTCATTTTGAAGGTGGCCGGCATCCTGACTGTCAAAGGTGGAACCGGAGCCATCGTCGAGTACTTTGGCCCCGGCGTCGAGTCCATCTCGTGCACGGGTGAGTTCAGGAAAAGTGAAGCACTCTGGCCGTTGATCAATTGGTAGTTTAAATAAGGGTGCAAGTCTGCTAAACTATTCTTGCAATCACTGCTGTTTGCAGGGACGTTGAAATGATGCAGTGAATGGGTCAGGATAGATAAATTGTTCTCAGAGAATTCTAGTGTTGCTATTTTCACTGTCACAACTTTAATAGAGGAGAAAATTGAAGTCAAATGTTCATTTTCAAATTACGCGCCTATATCTCTGGGCATCACGTCACAGATTTCAAAGTGTATTTTTGGTATTTTGGCAACATTGGCTCAGTGAAACTTCTTGAAACTTGGTGTGAGAAGTCTATGGCCCCCTCGGAGGACAGTGCACTCAATTTTTTCAATGAGGAAGCACGCAGGTACTAATAGATGCCATCAAAGTTTATGACATCATGACATTTAGTTTGGCGTCATAATGTTGAGGTGGCATCTCCACACTCTGCCATGTCAGTGCATGCTAAACAACACCAGGTTGTCGAAATTTCCAGAGCCCTCCACTGCGGCATCTCTCATAATCATATCATGGTTGTAGGATGTAAAATCCCAGATAATATAATTAACATGGCAAAGCCATCTTCTTTTTATTTTGCGTGTTTTCTTGCTTACAAGGCGTCTTCTTTTGTCAGGCATAGTAATTTTAAATTTACCGATACGGAACCCACGCACATAAAACATGAAATTGGTGATGTAGAAATCCATTGCTGACTAATAACTTGAACAGCTAACTCGCAATGCTGACACTAAATTGCATGTGTCAGGTCAACTGAAATTTCGGATGTATATTAGTACAGCATGATGTTTGGTAATTTGGCCTCTATGCACAACACTGCTAGCCCAATCAGCTGCTGAGATACCGAAGTATAGGTTTTGATAGTCATGGTTCTTAGCAGTGTTGCCAAAACATATCAGACGCAGGTATATTACTTCATTGGTGTAATCAAGAGCACGTTACTTACCTCTGCCGATTAGAGAATCAATAAACTGATTTTTCATTGCAGGTATGGGCACAATCTGCAACATGGGCGCCGAGATCGGCGCCACGACGTCAGTGTTTCCGTACAACAGCCGAATGAAGGACTATCTTGTGGCAACCAACCGAAAAGGTGAGCAATTTTTGTGCGACTGCAAGCGTACCCATTTACATCTGTTTCTTCCCTCGGTCCACAATTCTTTGATGTCTTTACATGTCAAGATGTCGAAAGTTTGAGGGAGAACTAACGAGGGGTGTGCAATATCGGCATGGTCAATTTAACATGAATCTGGGGACAGGCTGTGCTAAGATGCATAGCATGAGCTTTCAAAAGCATGGGCATACAGAGCAAATGGAAACAGTAACCAGTCAACGCTCAAAGCACAGCTCAACCTTGTTATAACAAACATTGATAAAGGGAATGATTGGTTATAGCAAACTAAATACGAACTTTTGCTAGTCTCGCTTCATTTATTCTTTTTATAACGAAATAGAAAATGTGACAACTGCCACGATAAAGACATTAACGAAAAAAATTTCTGGTTTCCGGTAAGCTCGGAACTCAAAAGATAGAACAAAAAGCAAAATAAATGTTCAAGGATGAGTCGCAACAGCATTCCTTAGTCATTTAAAAAAAGTTTCAGAAACTTTCCAGCGCACAAAAGTGGCATGCATTTGACTGGCTGTGGCGCTGTAAATATGTAACGGGAAAAATTTGGAAGCTGATATTGCCCCACTTCTTTGTCGTTATGTTACCACCTCATTACATGTGCGAGTGCTGCCTTGCAGATTGCTGCCTTCCAGGCGCAGTTTTCGCATTCTCTTCACTTTTAAAGTACAACTTGTTGAAAAGTAGACAAGTCGAACAATCATGCCTGCCGAGGTGACGCCCGTGTGAGCAGTCGCAACCGGGCCCTTAGGGTCAAAAGTTCACAGCTGCTGCTTCATTTCTGTGTTGTCTCTTTTAGGTCTATGTTCATTGTGCTTGCCTAGCACTTAATCTTTGTATTTATGACTGCAGAGATCGGGGCTGCTGCAGAGGCCCACAAGGAGCTGCTCACTCCGGACAGTGGCTGCAAGTACGACCAGGTCATTGAGATCAACCTGAACGAGGTCAGACACGTGGTGTGACGTGCACCTTATTTCAAGACTTGTTGCAGGTGCTGGGACATGCTTGACATTGTAGTTAACAGCTGCAGTAATCGCTTACAATGCGAGTTGATGAGTTCAAAGTAAGAAAACAACTTGCCCGTAAGTTTACAGGCAAAATTGTAATGGTGAAAAAAAAAATAGCGTCCCTCCAGTTTCGATGTTCCTGGGGAAATTAAAGTGCTTAGAATTTACCTTCACGGAATGCACATTTATTTGGCATTAGGGTGATTATCAATATTGTCAGACAGGTATAGACAACAAAATATTATCCAGAATGCTGCGCATTGGAACTGATATGAAGCTTTTGTTCAATTAATCTGCTCTGCAACAATTACAAATGCTGACCCTTGTGTTTACCTACTACTTTTGCCATTTAACTTTTCAACGTGGGCAGTTCTTTTCGACGCTAGAAACGTGTAACATAGATTTGCTGCCACTAGCTTGGCATATTAAGAAATTGATATGTCGCCGAATAACATCATATCTTCTTCATGGAAGTAATCTCTGGAGCACTGTTGCAGTGGAGGCGACTCTGGTAGTTGAGCTGTTTGAATGTTCTTATCCCATCAAGCTCGCAGATAGCTTTTGGACCATTCGTAGAAGCAAACATTCACGAACAATTACAGTAATATCTACTGGGAACTCTGATCGCAGCTGCTTAGGCATTTTGATTTCGCAATTAGTTCAGAAAATGTGCATGCTTCAAGGCGATGTGGCATGGCATCAGTAGTAGCATAGAATGCCCGGTTTTCATGTGAACGTAAGGTACTGAAACTGGCATCGCCAACTTTCGTCACTGCTGGCTGTCGCAAATGCCCCGCCGTACTATAAGGGCCCTCATGAGTCACCTAGAACATTCCCCGCACAAAGTGTCTCTTTGACCATTGCACGTTTTCATCTCCTAAGCCTCGCAAGCCAACTCACTGTCTTGTGCTCGTGTTTCTTGTGTGCGAGAGGCACCAGAAGCGTGAGCAGGCGGCACGAGGTATTGCAGACGCTTGCCCAGCCGCTTGCTGGCCCTCATGATTGAAAACCCTTCTGGGCAGTCTCTTGCGTCTTCATTCACTCTATCGGTTGCGCCGACAATGACGACAGCACTCAACGCAGGAACGGCGCCTAAACTGAACAAAAAAAATTTTGTGTTAAAATTAGATTCAAACCTCGATATAACCAAGTTGCAGCATACACGAAGGTAAGTTCGTTATATCTGAAAATTGGTTAAGACGGTTTATTCATAGCACTACACTCATGCCTTGGTATAACAAATTTGGATATAACAAATTATCTTTTAGGATGAAGTAAGTGACTAATAGCTTTGCTATAGATACAGTGTTACAAATAATTGTTTATAATAAATTTTCGGGTATAACAAAGTATTTTTTGGCAGATGTCAGTTTGTTATAATGAGGTATGAGTGTACAGTAGACCATCAGTAAATGGAACCTGAAGGGACTAGGAAAATATGTTCCATTTTACAGGAGTCTCGTTTACGCAGAGGTGAACATAGATGCAGAATACAAGCCCGAAACCAACTGTTGCCGAGGCAACGGTTCTGTTTATGCAGTAGTTTCGTTTAACATATTTGCATTTACTGAGAGTCTACTCTATATCTATTGCAAGGCTATTTTTCATTTGCTTCATTATAACCGATATTTTGTTATACCCGGGTTTACTATATCGAAGTGCGTATAGTCGAAGATTCTGGTGAAATCTTCTTCAGTGTGTCTTTGTGCTTTACACTTTTAATACAGCTGGAGCCGCATGTGAACGGGCCTTTCACACCCGACCTGGCCCACCCTATCTCCCAGCTGGGCAAGAGTGCCAAGGCTGCCGGGTGGCCTATCGACATTCGCGTTGGTGAGTGTTGCTCGCTCAAGCACGCATGCTACGCTTGCCACCGCCACAAGTGTTGGCACGGGCCTGTGTGGTAAAAGAAAGTATTACGTCCACCTTAGTCGAGTGGTGGTTATGGTACTCGGCTGCTGACTTGAATGCTGCAGGTTTGATCACGACCGCAGTGGTCGCATTTCAGTGGAGGTGAATGGCTAGAATCTCTCGACTGTGTGATATCATCGCATGTTAAAGACCAGATGGCTGAAATTTTCGGACCCCTCCTCTGTACGACATGCTTCGTAATCATGTGAGGGTTTTGGGACGTAAAACCTCAGTTATTATTACGAAAGGAAGCGCTGAGCCTGAGAATTATAAGTGCGTACATAACTGCGAATGTTTTCAGAGCGGGGAGGTAGCTAAAATATCTTTGATGGAAGCAAATGTTTGATGACATCTTTTACACTCGAAATAAGGTAGGTGTAATGCAAAAAGCTGATATCATTATCTTTTTGCAATGAAGGTGCATCCTAAAAGTACTTTTTAGCCACGTCTTGTGGTTGGCATTCTTATTCAACGTGTTTTTGTTGTCGATTAGAGGAATTTTGGGTAGCATCATCACTTGGGGATCATTTGCATAAAAACAATGGAAAATCAAGAGCCTATTCTCTTATAGAGAAAACAGGGGCAAGCATAGGTTGGTGTGTGCATATCTGACCTTTTAGTTTCTTTCTGTTGCATTGCACGATGTTCCCACTTAACATTTATCTACCTCCATGCCCAGAATCTTACTTTGACGAATGTTCTTAGCAGTGCAACACTTCAGTTGCTACTGGCAACAGCGATGGTCATGCATTCATACCACTCAACAACGAAATTACAAGTGACCCTTAGAAAAGATCAAATTGGCATGTCAGAAACGGCTGATCGCCGAACAGGGCCGCTATCGAGAAAGCACCAGTTATTGGGAAAAGGCACATGCAATTATGCACATAACTGGCACATCTCCGAGAACGTATTTTTGTACGCTTGCCGCTTTTCGCATACTGCACCATTGCCAGCTATGAGATGGTGTTAGTCGCAACAAGGTTCACTTGGAAGAAAAAATAAAGAGCAATTTCGCTTTGGCTGGGTTATAGCCTGCTGACTTGATTTGGAGAAAAATATCGCATTTACTCAATTGTACTGTACGACTGTAATACAACATGTGAGTTCTCATTGCGTCCAGGAAAAGAATAAAAGTAAGATGATTGTCTGCATCATTGCTCTTATAGGACAACTTGAGTTGCAGTATTCGAATGTAGCCTAAGGGTCTGCTTCACCTAGCAAAAATCTGGAGAGAAAAAAAAAAAAAGAAAATCAACGGGCAGCTTTAGACTAGGTGTGCCAAGCCTGTAGGAAGTGCGGAGCTGGAAGGCCTTCTCTGTTTCGCCTTATTTTTTTATTGTTTCTTTCTCAGTTTATTTGCAAGAGTTTTTTTTTACTCTGTTTACCTCTTACTCTCGCCCTCTCTTCATTTCTTGCTTGCTTCCTCTGTCTTTATTCCTTCGTTTCTCTTCTTCTGATTCTCTGTTTTCTCTCATTCTTCACAGGCAATATTTTACTCTCTCCCCTCTCTTTCCTCCTCCTCGCCCTCACTTCCTTTTCTGCCCCCCTTGGTACGCTGAAACCACGAAACAATGAACCTGGATATAACAAAATGATGGTTATAATGAAGTGAATGAAGAATAGTCTTGCAATAGATACATTGCTAGGAATATGCCTTTATAACAAATTTTTTGACATAACGAACTTTATTTTGTGTCACATGGAAGTTTGATTTAATGAGAGTTGACTGTATATGACAATATACTGGGCAAAGCTCGCCTTACATCTGAGCAGATGTGGTAGCATTGTCAGTGACATTGCAGCCGTTTTGGGTCAAAAGAAACTAGCAGAGTCTTGCACGTCATTTTCTCTTCCTCCGTCTGTGCAGGCCTGATTGGCAGCTGCACTAACAGCAGTTACGAGGACATGAGTCGCGCCGCCTTCCTGGCCAAGCAGGCGCTAGACCACGGCCTCAAGTCCAAGTGTGCATTCACGGTTACGCCAGGCTCTGAGCAGATTCGGGCAACCATCGAGCGGGATGGCCAGGCCAAGATCTTTGACGAATTCGGCGGCATGGTGTTGGCCAATGCCTGTGGGCCCTGCATTGGTCAGTGGGACAGGTATGTACATAGTATAAGGAGCAGGATCGAAGGATTTTGAGGCTTGATTACTGCGACATAAACGTATTACGCACGAGGCAATACGAGGTGCTCCTTCGTGGCTCAGTGGATAACGGCTCGCACTCGCACAAGGCAATACACTCAAATCTCGGTATAACGAACCCAGATATAACAATGTATTGGTTATTTATAATGAAGTAAATGGAAAACAGTCTTGCTAGATATAGTGTCAGGAATATGTTTTTATAAATAATTATCAGTTTAACGAACTTATTTTGTGTGAGATGCAACTTCGTTTTAACAAGGTTTGAGGGTACATCCAAAAAACTCGTGTGTCCCTTGTGCATTCAATTAAAATGACTCGAAGGCAAAAGCACACAATTTTCTCTCTCAGCCAATGTATTGATGGTGCCCCACCACCCTTCAGAAGTTCATTGCTCTTAACACAGTTTCCATATCGCAGGTACTTGCTTCGCTTTGCAATGACTTTGTGATGGGACCACCTTTGACCGAGTTACGAATATATGCGAGGACGCCGTCAAGTGTGTTAAGTGTGTTACGTCACGTGATGTCACAGCGCAAATTTCGGTGATCTGTGATCTCGTATGTTGACGTTGTCTTGTGTTGATGATGCTTGGCATCACCGATCCTCGATGTCTTTGGACGAGAGACACGCTGCCGGCACGGAATGCCAATGGTCATATTTAAATTTGTTGACGCATTAAGGCTTTTGCCTTATTTGTTCGCCGTAGTCAACACCTTATCTGCTGGATGTTAGATGTGCTGGATAATTCGGATCCCTTCAAGGCACCGGCACCTAGCTTCATGGTGTCAGTGTAGTTTAAGGATATTTTTAATTTTGAACACTGAAGCCCTTGCCTGTACTAGATTTTACATGTCAGGCGCAATGCTATGGAATCTAGCGAGACGTCTTGCACCAGATGCATTTGCCCCAAGAAGTAATTTGGTATCATCCATTAGCAGATTCGAAGCACTTCCGGTAGTACTTTTTCTGCTTCATACGGAGCAAGTCTACTCCATTGGCAGATCTTAAGCAGCTTCGTCACGATATCCACTCCATGGAGCAACAACATCTGGTTCGTGAAAATCGGCGGACCGTAAGTTGTAAGCGCCCCGTGCTTTGAAACGGTGCCAACTTTGGGCGCGCTAACGGACGCCACTCGTGCCTGTTGCACCGCGCGTCGGAGCTTGCGTTTTGCTAGCGTAGCGTCGCTGTGCTTGACGTGCCCTCTCATGCAAAAGAGAAGAGCATAGCGCATTTTATTCTGACCCTGCCATTTGCTCCAGAGGGAGCACGTATGTCCCATTGGTAGATTCCCTCCTGTTGCTCTCCACCAGAGCGGAATGCTCCAGCGCAGACTTGGTTGGCGACTCCGAATCTGCCCATCGATGACACCATCAGTGGTTTTACAACTTGTAATGTGATTTCTTCTTTCGTTTTTAGACTGAGTTTAGAATGAAGATGCTTTGTGCCTTGAAAATAAACTTTGTTTTTATATGGTTGTCGGTATGGTGTTCTGAACTGCTGAGCATCTCTTAGTTTCTTCATTGTGGCCTGCACAATTAGTTGTGTTAACGTGCAGCCGAAACCAATCACAGAGGCCACGTTTACCACAACAAGATTCATGTGCGAGGTGCTCGGATTGGCACATTCGGCTGGCCGAGCATCTTGCATAGCTTCCTCAGTGTTGTTGTATGCGATGTGTGTTACATGGGTCATATGGTGGTTTTAGGACGTTAAATCTGCATAATCAATCAATCAATCGACGTGTGGAGTGTAATACAGTAGAACCTCTTCGATGAGTTTAAAATAACAGCAGGAAGTAAGTGTACTATATGGGAAAATGTATGATCCGAGTCATGAGATTCAAATTAGGTCAACTTAATTTTCGCGATTTCGAGCGTAGGAGTCGGGAAATCGTGTTGAGTGGGAATGTATCAACGAGGTTTCACTGTGTAAAGAAAAAAAAAACACTTAACAGTCATCAGTGCGAGACAACTTGTGGTTGACAGGTGGCATTGCAAACAGTTTCATGGAGGTAGAAGATAAGTATGCCACAAACAGGTGCTCTTAGTGCAAATTGGTGAAGGACATAGGTGTGTGCACAGGGGGGGGGGGAGGTCGCCTTCTCTGTCATCTAAGAGACGGTTGGAGGGGGAGTGCAAAGTCTGCCTCGTACACCGACTTAATAGGTGCGGGGGAGGGGGGAGCTCTGCGGTGCACCTTCGGTGCCGAACAGTGCGCGCGCCTATGGTGAAGGAGTTTGTTCTGAGTGTAGCGCCATTTTGCCGCGATGGTGTTTCTTTTCTTTTTTTTCCAGGAAGGACATAAAGAAGGGAGACAAGAACACGATAGTCACGTCGTACAACCGAAACTTTACGAGCCGCAATGATGGAAACCCCGCCACGCACGCGTTTGTGACCTCCCCGGAGCTCGTGACAGCTCTGGCGATCGCCGGCAGGTTGGACTTCAATCCAATGACGGATGAGCTGACAGGTTCCAAAGGTGAGAAAAAGACTGCTGTTGTCCTTTCGTCTAGCACGCAATTTAAGCTTCTTTGTTTGAAATTACATATTTGACCAAATCACAGTTAAACCAGGATGTAACGAAGCCCCGCCCCGGTGGTCTAGTGGCTAAGGTACTCGGCTGCTGGCCTGCAGGCCGCGGGTTCAAATCCTGGTTGCAGCGGCTGTATTTCCGATGGAGGCGGAAATGTTGTAGGCCCGTGTGCTCAGATATGGGTGCACGTCAAAGAACCCCAGCTGGTCGAAATTTCCGGAGCCCTCACACTACGGCGTCTCTCATAATCATATGGTGGTTTTGGGACGTTAAACCCCACATATCAATCAAATCAGGATGTAACAAAATTGACAAAATTCTAGAAAAATTCGTTATAAAGAGGATTTTTTATATGCAGGTTTGGTACAAAAGTTCAAAAAATGAACATACAGATTAAATAAAAGCAGAATTGAAGGCAGAGCTAACCCAGAACACTTATTTAGCGGTAAAAATAGTATTGCGATAGCAACTGTATAAACACTCTCGGTGGGTTTTTGCCATTGCTGCCATGTTTCGTAGCAAGTCCAAATTGACAACATGCCCTTGTGCGTGGTAAACTTTACAAGCGGATAAAATCGCGCGAGCGCTGCTGAAACAGAGATCAAGTGAACGGGCCCATCTATCTTCTGGAGAGCGCATACAATAACATCCCCATGCATGTTGAACTGAAAGGCTATTTCACCTGCTACATTGTGTAAAATTGCGGCCTTCCCTTCTCACCTCGCTGCAAGGGGTCTATCATCACTTCTATTGGTACACAAGCAGTCCGCGAAACACTGTTGGCCGAGAGCCGCCGATCTACACTTTTGGGGAATGCCAAAGCGACGACAACCTTTGTACACATCTTCGGCACAGGCGAGAAGTTCAAGCTCGAGCACCCCCGGGGTGACGAGCTGCCGCGCAAGGGTTTCGACCCCGGCGAGGACACGTACCAGGCGCCGCCCGCCGACGGCTCCTCCCTTCGGGTGGATGTCGACCCCAAGAGCCAACGGCTGCAGCTGCTCTCCCCGTTCTCCAAGTGGGACGGCAAGGACCTCGACGACATGGTCATTCTCATCAAGGTCAAGGGGAAGTGCACCACTGACCACATCAGCGCGGCGGGTCCCTGGCTCAAGTACCGTGGACACCTGGACAATATCTCGAACAACATGTTCATCGGGTGAGGGCCGTCTGTGTGTCGTTTTTCTTGGCTGAGTGGCAACTTAGGAGGAACATGAGTTCTGAAATTTTTTTTTCATTCATCGATTGCAATGAAACTTCCCAAGTTTATGTATGCAGATTCGGTGGTTTCTAAAATATTAAACATTTTATGTGCTTCTTGGGAGCCACAGTTCTGGTCCTGCGAAATCTGCTCTATTACAAGGGCCGGTATTTATAGAGTATGGTGTTTGGTCAGACAAGCTTCTAGTTTGTACTGAGACAGTGCACCACAGAGTAGAAGACCTTTAGCTTGTCATGGTTGGAAGTTGGTGCTTGTATCATTCTCTCCCGTGAGTCATACGTAACCCCCCTCCCACCCTTTTCGTCACAGTGTTCAGGTAGTTATGGGGCTTGACTGGTGATACGCAGATCGCAGGATTAAAGCTCGGGCGTGGTGGTTACATCTTAGTAGAGGTGACATTCAGGAGGCCCATGTGCTTAAAATTAAAAGTTCAGGTGCATCCCCCCTGGGGCTGAAATTTTCAGAGCCTTCCACTATGATGTCGTAATTGTGCTGTGGTTTTGCGATCCAGAACCTGAACAATTATTGCATTGCAAAACATCTCTATGCTGATGCATTGTTTAACTTTGAGAGTGTCAAGCGCGAAGAGATAAGTCTTGCCGACAACATTTGTGCTCTCGGTGTCCTCATTTTTTTATGCGAGTTATGACGTACCAGCTCTCCTCACAGTCCATTCTTCTAAGTTGTGCTCACTCTGTTCTTACTGATTGCAGGGCCATCAGTGAGGAGAGCGGCGAGGCCAACAAGGTCCAGAACCGGGTAACTGGCGAGTGGGGCGGTGTGCCCGACACGGCCCGCAAGTACAAGGTAACGGACAGTTTCGGCTTCATTATTAACATCATGATAATCACACTGTGTAATACAGCGCTTGATGGTGACCTCACCCAGTAGTCTTCAGTTGCTGCTGTTTCATATTTGATCACTCCAGAAAGAAAGGTTAATAATGTAGATTCATGTCCTGATGAGAAATCATCCAACAGTACATTTCTTTGGTGCCAGTGTTTCGAGACTGCATGCATCAGCAAATATTCTACCACTTAAAATATGCGAACTAATGTTGGCACATTCAAAACAAAAAACTAGATGTATATACCTTATATCACTTACCCCCCCCCCCTTCCCCCTGAAAGGTGGTTTCATTGCACTCTGTGGCTGCCATACCTTAAATCATCTCTCCAAACAAAATACGCACTACCACGATGCTACATTTCAGTATTAAATGTACATATTACTTCTACCGAAATTAATGTTTTTGTTGTATTTTTTTAGTTTAAATTTGTGTTGAACAAGCTTGTTGTAAGGGCCATGTATAACTAAGTTTAAAACGAGTTATTACACAGGTTATAAGTTGTATTCTACTGCTATTTAACTCCTCTTACTATTCATAGTTGCTTCCACATCTCTACATGCCATAAGAGTGACATTCACAAAAGTCTTGTTCTGATTGTTAAAAGTGTTAAAAGTCAGTTGGGTCATGTCAGAACTGGTCATTGGTTATAATGTAGCGTTATACACTATTCAAACAATTTGATTTGAAGGTATTTGACTAAATACCCATTCACTTCGAATTCACTTTAAAGCTCGAATGTACTGTTCGTCCGTCCCTGCACAATTGTTGATACCAGCTTTACAAGGACGAGTCTTCTTGTAGTGTTGTTGGCTCCAGCGACAGTCCCCTCGCATCGAGCTGCCAACTTTCCTCCCAACTTCTGTCTTGTTAGGTTTGTGTTTTGCGTTTCACGCCATGATGTGTCTCTGTCTTTCACGACAGGCCGAGGGCATCAAGTGGTGTGTGGTGGGCGACGAGAACTACGGTGAGGGCAGCAGCAGAGAGCACGCAGCACTCGAGCCGAGGCATCTAGGCGGCTACGCCATCATCGTCAAGAGCTTCGCCCGTATCCATGGTGTGTTCCGATTTGGGACCTCAGATTTTTCATCATTTGAGTGGTGACCTTACAGTTGTCCTTCACAAATTATCTGGCATTGCTAGTGCAGGCGTTAAAGCACGGCAATAGCAAGTCCACAGGCATTTAACTTTGAACAAGTACTGTGCAATTTTGATGGTACGAATCTCAAGAGGTGGCAAAAATATGCGCACCTCCGGAAGTTTTCCGTTGTAAAAAATTTAGTAAATTCTGTTCTCAAAGCATTATATATGCACAAAACATTTATTTCCCTAGTAAGATCTTATGTATCTTCCCGAGATGCATGCAAAGGGACCCTGAAGAAATGATGCCGCGAGCACACACGTCAAAGCTTCGCTCGAGGCCGACTGAAAATTTAATCTAAAGCAGCATTGATAATGATGGCGATTTCATGAGCAGCCGTTGCAGCAAGCAGTAGTTCTGTTTTCAATTGATGTGTGCGTGGTGCCCACCTGCCTCCACAACTGCATCGTTGCTAAGATTGCTTTTATCAGGGTTGTGTCCGCAGAAGTTGTGGCTAGTAGCACAGCCTTAAATCGTTGAGCATTAGTGCATGTGTTCCTTCAAGTATGGGTGTCGCCATTCATAATCGTGCCAATAGCAACCAGGGTTTCGTGCGCAGTTGTTACAGCGAACGGTAGGTCTGTTTTGAATCAGTGTTCACCGGCCACTCGCATGCCTTCAGAATCGCTTTATTGCCATGATCGTGCTGACAAATTTTTTGTCTGCAGCAATAGTGGCAATAGCGCCGCTTTGACTATGTGAGCATCGAACGTTTGTTTACTTTATGATTTTTGTCACCATACATAGTTGTGTAGAAAGTTGTGTAGAAAGTGGCTTTGGGGTCGTCAGTAGTGGTTGCGGAAAATAATATGCACTGTTTTGACTCTGTGCAATGACTGCACACACTTTCGGAGCTTACGAAGTGTGCCACTGTCAGCCGTTGCTCATCGGTTTAAGTACCCAAGTTCATACCAGCTGTCTTGTCATGCAAAACCAATGTTTAGCCCATTGGACACAATGTAATTTGGTGGGGGAGCTTTATGAACCTGTATCAGGCCTAATTCGGTATCGACTGAATAAGTGTCACGGAGATTCTATTTCAGTGTCTGGATCCACCGAGTGAGGCTCCAAAATGTGGACATTGCTCACGAGAGTGGTCATCTTTTGCAGAGACGAACCTCAAAAAGCAGGGTCTGCTACCACTGACCTTCCAGAATCCCACCGATTACGACAAGATCAAGTCGGACGACAGGATCTCGCTCCTTGGCCTTAAGGACCTCGCACCTGGCAAGGTGGGCACGGACTTCTGCACTTGATTGTAGTCTTTTCATGAAAACGACTACTTGCATGTACAGTGCGCAGGTTGCAGCATATACTCCTCAATCGGACTTGTTGCATTAAAAGGAAAGGCTGTGAATTTCTCACACTCTTGTACAGTAAACTCTCATTAGTTCAAACTCTGATAATTCATACTTTTGGTTAATTTAAACAAAATTAAATTTTTTGGTTGGCCATCTATTCTTTCAATGTAAGTCAAACTCCATCATTTGGTTAATTCATACTTTTTGCAGTTTCATACCAGAAGATGTCTACTGTTTTCCCTCTAATATTTAAAAATTTGCACGCTTATACAATCCTAACAGTCTAAAAATGAAAAATAGGCACCTCAGGCTTTCAAGGAAAAAGGCTTCACTAGTAAACGGATGTTTGAAACAAAGCACAGGCATAGTAAACCGTGATGCTTCTCAACTGGTATCGAGAGCTTTGTGCCAAAGGCACATACCTATAGCAAAGAAGCAGTTGGCAATTCATTAACAGGTCTGATCAGCAGTAAATGGCCAATAAACTTCTGGACCTCACTCCTCTGCTTTCTGTTCATTGCATGCAGTTAGGGTTTAAAAACACTTAAAAAATTTTAAATGGGATAAAATCAATGCCTAATCATAATGTGTGGTGTCACCTCACCTGGATTTATCCGAGAACTTCTTGATAATTTAAATTTCTTGATAATTCAAACAAAATTCAGAGGTCTCTTTGAGTTCGAATTAACGAGAGATGTTAAAAACTACGAGAAGGTGTGCCACAGTTCCGTCACCAGGAGAGACAAGTGTGACAAATGATTGTGCAGGGAAATTACCGTATACACTCGCATAATTATCACACTTTTTTTTTTTTCGAAAAATTGACTCCATCTTCTGGATGCGATCATTACGCGGGGTAAATTTTCCGTGAGAAAATATTCTGAGCACCGGAAACGCAAAAAAGTCGCTAATCAGAATTCTTACAATAGCTATCATGAACATAACCAAAAATAAAAGTAAATTAAGGCTTACCTTTGTAATAAAATGCACGCATTACGCAGGAGCTACATGCATGGCACACTGCCATTTTTATTTTTTACCTCTCTGACCCCATTAATTCGTTCATACTTCGAAGCATCACTGGCGTCAATGTCATTGCTGCACGATTCCCTGTCAGAACCAGCAGTGTCTTCACTGTCTCACAGAGGATCATCTTCCGTTGCGTCGAGCGCGTTGGAAATGCCAGCGACTGTTCATTCCGCCGCATGAAGCGTGTCGTCCAGCCGGAACTGGCGCAGAAGTCCTTTGTGGCTATTCCCAACCTCCGGGAAACTGCACGCCTGCGTCCGTATCGTGTCTAATGACACTGCATAACCGTCCTTGCGCATGTCCTTCACGTATTCGAGGACTGCCTTTTCAATGTCAGGGAACTTGCCAGATTTGGGTCCGCGGAAAGCCCATCACGTGCTGTTAGTAGCCATGAGCATGTCGCGCTGTTTTTTTCCAATATCGGATCCAGATTTCGTCGACGCCGTGATGTCTGCCGTCACTGTGGTTGCCGTGCTCTAGGGCGTAGTCAAGCGCCTTCAGCTTGAACGCGGCAGTAAAGCTGGCATACCGCCCCATGGTGAAACGGCGCTTAACAGACGATCACAAAGCACACAAAATAAAACGTCTCAGGAAAAAAAAATTGCTGCGGGATGAACACAGGTCGACCAACAGGCGGCCGCCGCTGTAACAGTGTGGTATGTCAAAACAAACATGGCAGCTGACAAAGCGAAGCCACCGCATTTTTTTTCTTCTTTGGGTCAATTATGGGGGTTGTAAGTACGTTATGCGCATCAAGAGTTTCTTCCATCTAAATAAGGAATGCTTTCATTTAAATCAGTAAATTTACGGCATTAGCATAGTGATGCCCGCTTTAAGATCACAGAAACAATGATAGGCGCGTTCAGCTAGACTTTGCACATGACATGTCGATGCGGCAAGTTCAGGGTGCGATCATTACGGGGGGGAAAAAAATGTCGAATTTAGACGACAAAATTTAGGGGTGCGATCATTACGCGAGTAAATACGGTAACCGTACACACTGATTTGCTCTTTTCTTACTTCAGTAGACTTTATGACTTTGTCGGAAAGCCTTTGCTTGACTTTGACAATTGTGCTTCAACTTTTTTTTTGTTATTTGAAACTTCATTTCTTAATGATTGTGATAGTGCGAACAGAGGACTAGGACAGACTAAGACAAGTGTCTCCTTGTCCTAGTCCTCAGTTTGTGCTCAGCAATAACCGTGAATTGGTCAGTTGGCTCAAGTAGCTATCTGTTTTTGCTAAAGAGTGTCTTCCTCTTTTTTTTTCTCATTTACAGCCCGTCAAGTGCGAGATCAAGCACAAGGACGGCTCTAAGGAGACCATCACGTTGAACCACACCATGAACGCGACGCAGCTGGAGTGGTTCCGGGCTGGAAGTGCGCTCAATCGCATGGCCGAGGTCAAGTAGTGGGACGATGAGCAGCACCGTGTACAGAAGCCAAGCACTGTCTTCCTGAGTGGGCAGAAAAAAAAAGAAAAGAATATGCGGGAGTCTATAGTTTCTTTCCCGGCAACACAGTCAGCACGATTCCCAATCCAGTCTCAAGCGTCCCGTTGGCACCGTCTTAGCGTAGCACAATTTTTAGCTGCATCTTCAGCGCGAAATGGCACTGCCATTTGATTGTGAACTACTGGATGTCTTCATTCTCTCGCTTGTTTCTTTTTAGAGGAAGAACTGTGAGTGATGTTTGTTTGTTTTTTAAACGTCTAGCGCTTAAGGGCACATCTAGGAAGAGAAAGGTAGACAAAAAAATAAAAGGACACTCCTGTGAAGACGTGTTTCCTGAGGTGTGGACTGCACAGATTTTTGTGGCACTTGTGTCCCCTGAAGTTGTCTATCACATGCCTCAGTTGTATGGCATGAAGTACACAGTATATGGTGGTATAATAGCTGAACGGTTTTAGCAGTCTCTGTAGTATCACTCTCTCTTGTGCAAGTAAGTAGTACCATCCTACAGTAAATTTCAGAGGCTTCGCCAATCAAAAAGACTGCCGAGAGTGTCTCGGCTTAGTGTAGCCAAACGTCCCGTCTTGTAGTACAGATGGAAAGTACAGATGCGAGCGCTAACCTTTTAGTACTACGAATTCTCGTTACATCGACGAGCCTTGCACTTGTGTGCTTATTTGCGCGTTTTTGTTGAGCAGATTGTTGATTTAGCAACCTCCATTCCAGTAAGTCTTTCAGACTTGGTGGGATCCCATCATTAATGAATAAGTGAACTCTCATAATTTTTGCTCATATCATCACTCTGTAAATCGGGAATTCTTGTATATTATGCATGGATAAGGGTACCATGTACGGGCTTTCTTGTATGTGCGCTTCTTGGCTTCATGCACGCAAGAAACATGTAAACTTCACTCGTGCAATGTTCATTCTCATAGACATCACATGTAAATTGAAGCCACTTATGAGAGACACCGAAAATCGCTAGAACAATGTAGCAATGACATAGGAAGGCGCCCCACAGACCATCAAACACGAAGACCAGCATTGTCACTTTAATCCCAACGTGTTACTGTGTGAGCGACTCAATCAGTATCAGAGTTTTTTGAGGTCTTAATTTGTTCATATTAGTAATAAACACTGATGTCAAAAGGCTCTACTTCTAAACTACTGTAGAGAGCAAAAGAAAGAAAAGGGTGATTCTCGACGATTATCGTAATAGTCTCCATGTTCTTTGGTGGTCAATGGGGCTGGCTGTGTCATCAACTCAGCGACAGGACGAAAGACCCAATCATTGCGGAACAAGTGGCCATCGCCTTAGCACTCGAGATGGATAACATTGAAGTGATCTACAGCGATTCCATGGCAGCACTACGGGCCTTCGCTAACGGTCTCAGAACAGACGCCGAGAATACTACATGGCAAGGACATTACGCATCATCTTCTGAATTCGTTCCTAGCTCACCTTGGACAAATAAGACTCCCCTTTCAACCTCAATGAAGCAGCACGCGAGGTAGTGCGAGACCTCTCGAACCGCATCTCCCCGGGCATGCATCCTACTGGTAAAGGGATAGCTAGAAAATTCTCACTACTTATAACGAGCTCACTAAACGTTTCTACCTGTCCAGAAGGATTTTCCCTCCACCTCACAAAAATACAACTCTACCCCAAGCAATTACATTAAGGCTTTTGCAAACCCAGACATACTCTACTTTGAAAATGTTACACATCATGTACCCTGACCTGTACCCAAGTAATCTTTGCCCACATTGTGGGGAAATAGCTTAATTAGAACATATGCTCTGGCAGTGTATCAAATTCGCTCATTTACCGAACATCACCTCTGCCTGATGGGAGGCGGCAATCCGCAGCTCGTCCTTGGTAGATCAGCTCTGGGCTGTCCACCGAGCCCGCGAGGCATCTGAGGAGCTTGGCATCTCCCCACGTGGGATCGAGCGGCCCGCGACACAGTAGACTGTGTTTTGGAGGATTTAATAAAGGTTTATCCAATCTAATCTCATATGTTCTTGACATTGTTGCGAAAAAAAAAAAAAAAGGCAGACCCCACTTACAGTAGGAATCGATGATATGCGAGGTACGAATGAGGAAGTTTGATATGGCAGTTTCAAGCCAGCATAATGTTACGAGATGGACATTTATTATGCCGTACATGACTTCCATGTCATGTATAATATGTTGGCGCTTGGCATTTGTGGTCGTCGTCCATTCACGTCACGTAACACTAAATTTGGTAGTGTGAAGATAGCGAAACGGCTGCGAGCCCGCTATTAGCATAGCACGTAGTCAGGTTTTACACGACACGCATTTTATGATTATATGTTCGGACGTGTCCTTTACATTCGCTGTCCATTCACGTCGCGTAACGCAAAATTTGGTTGATGTGAAGCTAGCGAAACGGCCGCGAGCACACTATAAGCGCAGCACGTAGTCAAGTTTTTACATGACACGCATGTCATGTTTGGACGCGTCACGTAATACCAAATTTGGTATATGTTGATGCTAGCGAAACGGCCGCGAGCTCACCATGAGCGAGGCACATAATCATGTTTAACATGACACGCTTGTTATGATTATCATGTTGGCACCAGTCATATACCTTAGTCAATCATTCAAGTCGCGTAATACCAAATTTGGCATATGTGAAGCTAGCAAAACAGCCGCGAGCGCACAATGAGTCAACACAGTCATGACTTGCATGACATGATTTCCCCGTTTGGACCTGTCACATTCGCTTGCAGTCATGCCATACCATAGAGTTTCATGCAATATTGTATGAAACTCTATGTGCCATACCATACCAGTTTTGCAATATGTCATGTGAACGAAACCACCGCAAGAGCAGCAAGGCCGTAACATGTAATTCATGACATACAGGGTATGATCATACAGTCATGTTATGTCATGCCAATCTTCGTAAAGATCCCATTATTGAAACGGCCAGGAGCATAGAGTTTCTCACAATCATAGTATTATTGTGTTGATTGTTAGAAACTCTCAATCATGGTACGATTGTCACAATAACATTGTGAGAAACACCATGGGCAAAAGAGCTAAAAGTCGTAGGCGACTAGATAGATAGATCAATAAAGGTTGGCGAAGTTCGCTAAGAAATGCTTGCATTAAAAAAGCCAATCGCAGTACGCAGCCGATCCAGAAAAACAAACCGAAAGATCACGTGTTCGGCGCCGCTTGTTGTGGCCAGCTGCACGCGCGCAATGCTTTCGCGCGAATAGCTTAGTTTTGAATATTTTGTCTCGCATTCCTGAGCTCCGCAGGCTGTCGTTACAAGTAACCAAAACGCTCTGTAGTGCACTTTTCAGGAGGTGCCAACTACGCCTGAAGTCCAGACCTTTTGACAAGCTAACTGAAAGGTTGGTTAGATGTGACCGCTACTTTATTGTACTGTCAGTTTCGTTTGTAGTTTTCGTCAAGAATGCACTTCGCGACTTGCCTTTAAGCCCTCGTAATGAACCTTATGTGTCGAATTCTTAATGCATGACACGTTCCTAAGTGTGCACCTGTTGTTTCATAAAGGTATTGGCAGTTAATTTCGAGCGTAGCTGCACTGTTGTCGGGTTTGCTGTGGTAACGTCAGGCGCCGCGGCCCTTGTCGCAATGTTTGAAATTTCGCGCGGAAGCTTTTCTGTACTTCGTAAAATACCACACCGCGCGTTTTGGTTTGCTTCCATTGACCGCAGCCGCCACGGAGTAGTGATCCACCGCTATCGTGTAGTTATCAAGCGCATCCAAACGGTGCGTTGTGCTTGGCATGATATATCTTTTGCCTGAATGGTGCGTGTGGGGCTCGTACCAGCTTAGCCTATCAGTTATCACGTTAGCTTAGCTTATCCTAAAACTGCCTATTTACCAGTAGTTTCATGAGTTGCGCACTCTCAGTCCGAATATCATTTGCTGCAGGTCTACGCTTTTTCGTGAGTGCGGTTTATATTAATTATCCAGCCATATCTCGACCTGCGGACAGACCGCCATGAAGAAGCGAAAGACCTGTCCCTACGGCCCGACGAACGACTACGTTCTGAGCAGCCCCATCGGACGCCTGGCCGTGAAAAGCTGTCCGCACGGCCTGCACAGCCTGCATCAGATGGATGACGAGGCGCATTTCTCGCCAGACTTGAGGTACTGTGTTCGAACCCCGCAGGTTTACTTTATATTTCTGAATCATTTTCACAGTTGAGTTTGTTGGTACATTTCATTGTGCGCGTGGAGAACGTCGTGAAATTACGTTTTGTGTGAAAGTTGAATCAAAAAAAGGTGGACCGAGATGCACTCGAAATGCTTCACAAAGTCTACGTTGACGATGCGATAAAACAAAGCCATACGTTGATGCGTGTTAACAGCTTCCAGGGAGGTCTAGAGTCTATCAACGATGACGACTGCTCCGGACGTCCGTGGAAATCTCAAACAAGCGACTCTGTGCAGAATGTGCATCAAGTATTGGATAAAGACTGGCGATTAAGCATTAAGATGACTGCAGAAGAGTGTGGAATACCCAAATCATGTTTTCACAAAGCACTTTCTAAAGAAGAAAATCTGCGCGGGAACGGTGCAAAAAGTCCTGACGAGTAAGATGTAGGAGGAGTCCAACTGTACTTATTGTGTCCAAGTTGCAGGCCAAAATTAATGTGGAAGCACTACTGGAACTTTTTTTTTTGTCCTCAATGATCAAATGAATCCTTAAAGGAACTCTGCATGGGATGCTGAAGATGGTAAAAGCATCTTCAATGACTTCACTGAAGGAGGTTCTCGTTGATGGCTTTCAGGGTGCCTTCAGTGATTGGGTGAAGCATTGGCAAAGCTGCATTAAATCAGGAGAGAACTTTGAAAAGTTTGAAAAAGATTGTACACTGAAATTGAGAGTTCGTCAGAAACCCTTCTGGTTGGGATGAAACATGATGGATATGAAGTACGCCGATCAATTAAAACCTAAAAGAAAATGACATTCAAGCTTTCCTACGGAAGGAAGTCTTGATCGCTGTGATTGTGAACAAGCCTTCCTTCCGTATAGAAACCGAAACGTCAAGTTTTCTTTGGTCGGTGTGCTTCGTTTCCTTTGTAAGATTGTAAACTGATATTAAATAAATTATCTACAAAATAAAAATTCTGAGAACTTTGGGACAGACCCTGTGTGTATGCGATGCCGTAAATGTTGTAACACTTTCGTTATCATGCCTGCACAAATGGATCATCGGTGATCAATGCTTTGAATCATCATTTTGGCATGTTGAATTGTTTTGCAAGCACTAGCACTTCCTAGTAGTAGACAATGCATCCGAGTGCTAGGGCCGCACATGTGGTTTCCATTTAATGTGATTATAATGTACAGACAATCTGTTCTCGCTTTCACTTTCATTTGGCTTCCGTTTTTTTTTGTTCGCCTCCCTTCTTTTGCATTTTCCCCTCTAGCCAAGCTCTTGTAATCTTCTGTTTTCTACCGTGCTCCTATGGGGGAACTGAAGAATGTGAGGAAAATACGAAAGGACGAATGCGTCATGTTGCATTTTTTGCTGATAAAGCTGGCCCTTTCTCCACCTACAGAATAGGGGTGAGGGAGATACCAGCTTTATGCAGACTTTGGCTTCTAAGACACCGACTTCAGCACTGTACAAGCGAAAGGAAGACCGTTGCATACACTACACTGGACTGCCCCTTGCTCGAAAATGCAGACGTTGTTTGGGAGCCACATAGAAAGACGGATTGAGCGATGCTCGAACGGGTACAAAAGAAAGCGCTGCGATTAATTCACAACGCATACAGCAGGCGAGTATCCGTGACAGAGCTGTGCAGGCGTTCTGACCTACCAACACTAGAGTCCCACTGCAAATTACATCGACTTTAAATATTACACAGCATAGTTAATGGTTATTCAAAGCTTGACTTCAATATTTATCTCGAATTCAGCATGTCACGCCCCACCCGGAGCAAGCATAACAAAACAATCCTAATGCATTTCACGCGAACAAACGCTCACCGTCTATCCTTTTTCCCGAGAACGATAGCAGAATGGAACACTTTGCCATGCGACGTTACTAACTTAACTAATCAAAATGCTTTTTGAATGGCTATTCAAAAAATGTGTATGATTGGAAGTGCTGGTCTTGTTTCCCTGTTCTATTGTACTAACGTATTTCACGCGTTATCTTGCTTCCATGCCACTAACGCACACCGCTTTTTTTTTTTTCACGCTTCCTGGTCAATGTGCGTAGTGCACTTTGTGTGTTTTGCATTAGACTAGCATTGCCGGTTTTATTGTATATTCACGTAGCTATTTGTAACGAGAATTACTGCTGCTTTACGAATCGTGGGCCGTGTTACTGATGGCGTGCGCTTGTGTGTCGTGACAATCTGTAAGCTTAATGCATCATTGCTTCCCTGTGTACCGCGAACTGTGTTACTGGTCGCGTGTAAACTTTGTGTTCAAACTCTGCACTGTACCACTCCTGCCTTGGCTGCCAAAGGGTGGCTGGCACTATTGGACAAATAAAATAAAAAATAAAAAAATAAATGCTCTGACCTTTCTTTTCTATTTATCTCACTTTCTCCCTCTACATCGCAATTAGTTTAGATTTTCTTTGAGTCTTTGCACCAGGAAGTTTTTTTTTTTTTTCATTTTGCTTTCTTGTGTTTGCCTGAATGGCTCCATCAAGACTACAATGTTCGTTGCACAAAATCCCCGTCATTGTTGGTCGCTGCCAGAGTTCGTCTTAACAGAAGAGGCCTGTTATGCGTTTTGTTTAAGCAGATTTTTTTTGCATTGAGTCTATGGGAAACCAAAAGAACACTCCCCTGGTGTCTGTCTTAAGCAAGAATTCATCCTAACAAAGTTTGTCTTAAGGAGAGTTTACTGTATCGTAGTTTTTATAGTGCTGTTTATCAGCTGGCATCCAAAATTACACACTTTTCAAATTTTTATTCATCCCACAGTAGTTTTGTTGAGCTACAACGTATATTTTTCGGAAAGGGCATTACAATATGCATAATTTGGTATGCTTCGATGCGTGCCAGAGCACTTTGCTTACTGCAAAAAACATTGCTCCTGAGACAAATGGAAAATAGCCGTTTTCCTCGCTATAACGAAAGAGTTAAGACCATGGCTATTGCTGAGGACGTATTTTCATGAAACTCCTTTCATTGAAAAGCGACTTGTGTCTATGAGGTGCTTTCTGCAGTAGCAGTTGGTGGAAATAATTATTTACTTTTTGTCTTAGCATTGAAGTGAAGCTGCTAAGCCAGGAGTTTGAGGACAATGGCTACACCTACCAACCGGTGCTGAGCTGCTTGTCTTGGCTTGAAGCCTACTTCAAGAGTCCTCGTCCGGAGAGGAGGCCGTTGCCGGCTATCTGCGGGCCAACTGTTTTTCCCAGAGGTCTGCTATGTCTTTGTGTTTGCAGCCTTCCACTTTCTTGTGCAAACTGGCATACTGTATTAAGCGTAAATAACTTCGAGAAAAAATTGGCCCCATACCTACATGCTTTTCTGCTAGTGTCATTGAAAGACGATAGTAGTCTTCTGCCGGCCAAGCAGCTATTAATTTATTTTTACTTATTTACAGAACACTGTCAACCCTCCGTGAGGGTTACTGCAGGAGTGGCAAAATACAAACATACTAGTACAAGCAAGGTAATGATACGCCAATACAAGAAGATTATGTTTTGCCTTGACTAGAACGGCGCCTCCTTTATGCCGAATTGGCCGCATGTGGGTGGCACTGGTAGAATAGAGACGGCACTGCGTGAGATACGGACGCCATCTGGCAGTGCTATCAAGAAACAGGAGCTTGTAGAACCCAGGGCAAGTGCCAGGTGGCAGCACGGCATTGTCGGCAGAGCTCTTTTTCATGTATAGTGTCGCATTTTCAGCACAGCGTTAGAAGCACTAGAGCCTTTTGAATTACTTACATATTCGTGTGTTTTTTATTAAAGGAACACACCACCTAATACTTACTCATTGATGTTGCACCTCAGATAAGCGTAATATTTGCTTTCGATGAACAATGTTCACAAATATGAACGCAGCCACCAGTTCAGGATGGCTGGGCATCGAGCAAGGGCTTAAGCTTTGGCCAGGTGCGCGAATCGTGTGATGGACAGAAAGACAGACCAAAATTTTTGTGTTTAAGTGTCCAGGGAAATACTATTGTCTTTCAAACACGCCTGATCACCACCACCAGAGATAAGCACAAGGAAAGACGCTTTCTTCTTGTGCTTCTTTACGCTGGTTGTGCTTAGGCATCTAGATTTTTCTTGAAGGTGTGATTGCTTGCCGTTATGGTCTCTTTCATGGATTTTAACACTGTTCGTGTGTTTTCTTGTCTGCTCATTGTTATCAGTGGCGGCACACTCCAGTGCCGTTTTTAGAGCAAGAAGTGCGCTAACATTTCGTTTTGCCACTACACCAATACGTGGCAGAAGCTTGAAGGATAACAAAGAAACTTGAGCACATGTCAAGAACTACTTAGCGTGCAATGGAATGCAAAATGATAGGTGTAACATAGGATATGGGAATGGTGGCAGAGTACATTGAAGGACAAACTGGGGTAGCTGTTGTCCTAGCTGACATTAAGCGGGAAAAAAAGTAGATCTGAGCTGATAATGTAATTAAAGACAAATAATCGATGGTCAGTTGGAGCAACTAAACTAATGGGTACAGAAGGATGGCAAATGCAGCTTAGGGATGGCTGGTAATAACTGTAATTTTAGGTGTTGACGTTCCAAAAAAACACGACATGGTCATGATGAATGCTGTAGTGAAAAGCTCCGCATTCGTTTCGACCAGCTGGTATTCTTCAAAGGGGCACTACAATACTTTTTGAGCATCGTTGAGCAACGCTGTCATTCGGTAGTACAGGCTTCCGACAACACGCCAGCCAGTTATAGTGCAGCACGCGGCCTGGAACTCACAATAAATGATCATATTCAGCTAAATATTGCTTTCTCTTTTCTGGACAAATGACGGAAGACACTCAAAAATCACTCGAAAGCCCATCTATCAACCGTTGGCTGATTTCAAGATGGTGAGCTCGGTCGCTACAGAGATCGCCGCGAGAGGCCACGACTTGCCCACGCGTGTGCTTGCGATAGCACTGAAAATGTGCTTATTCGAAGGAAATATAAATCGCAATAAAATTGGCAAGAAGCGTTATTTCTATAACAAATCTTGTTTTATTCTGTTAGCGATACTTCCCTGCATCAGCTGTTTAGGTATGATTTTCGCGTGTGAAGAACTTTAAAGCACACGGGCATATCAAGAGCAACTTTGCATTTTTCTTACTCCCATTGGCTCTTGGACTTATTGCTGTGTAAAAATTAATGTGCAGCCTTGAAGGGTCCTCTAACATAACATCGTCATCATCACAGTTGTCCACTTTTGGTGGCACTGTCAATGACAAAAATAAGAATTTCTTCATTCGTCAAACCACATTTCTTATGTGGCGCCATGTTTTGAAAACTGCAGGTAACGTGCACCATTTGCCGCTGAAAAAAAAAAGAAAACGCACACTTACAAACAACTCCACCAACGAAGAACTACACACAAACCTCAATAGAACAAACCCGGATATAACGAAATGTCGGCCATAACAAAGTAAACGATGAATGCTCTTGCAGTGGATATAGTGTTGAGAACATACTCTTATAAAAAATTTTTGGATACAACGAGCTTATTTTGATGTAAAACTCAACTTTATTATAATGAGGTATGAGTGTATGTCCACCTATAGGAAAACATATGAAATGAAGGGCAAACATCAAGTAATGTGCTGCAATTTATGAAACATTTTGACAAACCAGATTTTCTATGTGGCCAGTGATTCGCTGGTAAAAGCACTTTTGGCCTCGCCATCAAGGCTGGCGAATCGCCACATAAAGGCAGTGGGTTAATAACATCGTCAGAAGCTTAATGGCTCAGTGAACATGCCTAACATTTTGGACATACATCAGCTACTTCAATCTGCGAACTTGCGCTGAGGTTAATGCTTAAACGTGTACACACGACTTCAGAAAGCATAAACTCGTTTCCCCATCCATGAAAAGTTTGCGGCCTCACCCTGCCTCACCTTAGCTCTTGTAAGCACCAACAAATATCACGTCGACCTCATTTTATCCTCATTATTCTGACATATTTTATAATAGACACATTGCAACCTGGTGCTAGCAATGCGACGTATGTCCCTCTCCCCCTTTCTTTTTTTGACAATATTCATTATGAATACACTAAATTTCCATTAGCACTGTATGGCAGTGTTTGCGAAGCATGTCTATTCTTGATTGCACCTTCAAATTGCTGACGTTCAAGGTATTCGTTTTAATTTTAGCTTGACTTGGCTTTCCTTGTTTTTCTTTGTTTATTTTACAAAATGGGGTGGGCAATCCCTGGCATTATGATGATGATGTGCTAGAGTTCTTTCAACAGCGGGCGATCGTGGACATACTGTCCTTCAGTTTCGATAGACCGCCCACTGCCTGAATTCACCTCTTTGGAATTCATGTCTGAGAAACCTATGAATAGCATCTGTGTGCACATGACGCCAGCGAGATGGGCCTCTCGATACCTGGTTATTTCAAAAGTAGTCTGAAAATATGGCCACGTAGTTTCAAAGATTATCAACTCTAGTGCCAACGCTGGAATATTAACACCATAGCTGCCATTTTCCATGTACATCATAGATGCTGCTGGAAATTCACGGCCAGAGTGAAATATAGATGCGTGTAAAAGTATGGGGAGCTCGAAAAATTGAAGTACTTAAACTTGCTACCTCCCTGGCTGCTCTTGCGAAATATCCACCTCTAAATAATTTCTGGGGAGAACCCTGCCATGTGCTCATGCTACTCGGCCATTTGCACAGGCTCGTTCACCGGTGCGGTCTGGCAAATGTTATCCGAGAGAGTCGGTCCAGGAACGACGGTGAGCTATGGCGAGTTGGCGAGGCTCTGCAACAACCCCCGGGCTGCCCAGGCCGTTGGCTCGGCCATGCGGAACAACCCGCTCCAACTCTTGGTGCCGTGTCATCGTGTTGTGCGGCACAACGGTGCCCTGGGACACTATGCCGGAGGGAAGCGTGATGACGTGAAACAGTGGCTGCTCCACCACGAGGGAATTAGCTACTAAAGGAGTGTGAAAAAGTTGAATTGAGATCGCGGAATGCCTCCTATAAGGTTTGTCCTTAGCACGTAAATTAGCCCGATTGCAGTGCTTGTTACTCCAACTATTGATCCTGGCTATAGAATATTCCAATCCTGATCAACACGCACAAGAAGACGCCTATCAGAAACGCAACAGGTTGTCTTTTTGCGTACGCAGTTGACAAAATATGGTTGTCAGGCAAAGTTCAATTGGCGATTGCCACATGCCTGGCTTACATTGCACGATACGATTAGAACAACTGTAGAAAAGTAAGAATGCTTTCACCGTAATGTTCACTGCCAAAGCGATATGCATTGTGAAATAGAGTGCCAGAAGGTTTCAAAGGTGACCGCTCGGCAGTACATGGCAAAAGTGTTCAATTTATTCATGCCACATTGTTATCCTCCGAACTGGTGGCAGCGTGGTCAATCAAATCACTCTATTTTGCCATGACCTAACATGTCATCTAGCCCCATAAGCCGTAGACGTAACAGGTTTACAAAACAAGCATGGTTTGATTCCACAAATGCGGATTACTGTGCAGATAACCGAGTTATGAGCCGGCCTCATTGCTCATAAAGTTGTGACATGTACAGGTTATCCCGGTAACATGAAAGGAAGGTATGATTGAACAAATTCATGTTCTGTCACGGAAATCACCGTAAAGTTGGACACTACATTGCCATGTGGTCAGCCTAGTATTGTACCCCCATATGTTGAAATAATTTGCTAAGTTTACCTTGCCAGTGGGTTGTTGTTCAATAATGCCGGCCAATTGAAGCAAGTTTGTAAAGAAAGCTTTTAGTTGTTAAGACTTAAAAATGTCGCAGGAACACTGCTGATTTTAATGTAGTCACAAGTCAGCTACGTAAGTCCACTGGAGATTTGACTGTTCAAGCAAAGTAAAGGCATAACTAAACATACCGAGAGCTTGTGAAGCAGCTAGTCTTGTTTTATTTTGAGTTGCTCAACTTGTATATAGTTTAAAATGTCTCTGTATTGTGTATCTTCCCTATGACAAGTTCATTGACTTGATATAAACTGATCATTTTTTGGGCCACTTTCAGTTGCCTTCATACAAATAGTTATGAAAGAGGCAAATTTGGTAAACGCGAACTTCACCTCGGGAGAAGCGAGAGTGAGGTTGGCAGCTATCAACTTATGTCGATGGTGCTCTGTTTTTAAAGGTACTCATTCTAATACCCCTACTCTATGTAGTTAGCTCAGTTGAATCATTAAAACAGCTCATTTTCCACACAGGGTGTGGGATTTAATGCTCTTGCACTGTTTTTTTTTTTACCGTAACACCCGGTACTCTGCTGTCTGTGCAAGAATCTCATTAGAGTTTTTTTACCGAAGCACCTATTTTGGTGAACGTCTGTTTTGTGTAACATATGTGATAATGTTTGCTGTTGCTTTGTACGATATGGAAGATATTGAGTGATGAATGTGGAGAAGCCACTAAATGAATTTGCGAGATAATGAGTTTGAGGGAATATCGATGCTGGTATAAATGGTACAATTGGTTGCTGGGTCCCGTGGATTTAATATGTACGGTGTTCCTTTTATCTAATTGCTGCCTGACGTAAGACAGGGAGTGCACAAGTGTGGGCAGCTGCACCCAATTGTAGGGCTTCCTTCAGAGTCTCTAATTGATTGTTTTTGGTCATGTAATACGTCAACTCAATAAAATATAACCTGCAAACTACCAACAAACTTCTGAAACATTTATTGCCTGGATTCTCAGCTTGCTGTTTTAGACCTTTCACCAATGCTGAATTGTGAAACTCTGTAAACATTTTTCAAAATGTTTTTTTTTATATTGCGGTATCAAAAGTGGCCATCAGTACTCAAGTTACAGGGGCAGTGCTGAGCACAGCACTCGTACGACATCTTCACATCTCTATGCTTATAGTATTTACGAGTGCTGTTACGCTGAATATACGAGGACAGTACACAGGACACCACATTCATGAACTGTCACTTTTTAAAACGAAGTGGAGTAGCTGAAAAAACTTCAACACTTTTCAGCGAACCACCTAGCTTTGCTCCTAGGTGACTCTTCAACATGACTGCAATACCGCTGTCACACTAAGTTTTAATGTCATTCGTATGGCATGACATTCGCACCTAATGACATTATTCAGGTGTTACACAGAGATAAATAAATGTTACTAGAAATGAATGACTTAAGCCATCGAATGGAATCGACAAACACATTTGTCGTCGCAGTAGGACTACATGTATATCGTCTATTTCAGACATTACTAAAAACATGGCATTCGGCATTGTCAGTTTGACTCGCATTCATGCAAACACGTTATTAATGTTGCTTTTTTTGGCCACCTATCATTTTAATGTGGACGGGAGTGCGGAATTTCCTCGCAAAATGTCTTTACTTTCCACCTCTGTGGCGTCTGACCGCCGGCGCTGTTGGCCATGATGTAAACAAGAAGTCTCTGTGCATGTGTATGCGTCTATCTACAGTGATAGCATCAGCTGCACTAGAGCAATGAACCCAGGCCATTTTGCTCTCATAATGTTACGGTACTTCTGTTGCAAGCAGTTTGCTCGCATGGACGCATGCCATACTGTTTTGAAGTGAACGTAGAACGCTCTGGGCTTTTGCCGAGTGTGCAGTCAATCCCAAACGTGTGCATCTGTTACTTTGCATTCTAGAAAACTTAGACTGACACGTTTATTTTCCTGTTTTTTTTTACGCAGAACATGCCGTGTTACTTGTGTTTATCCGTCAACTGCCGCTACTGGCTAAGCGGATCATCTTATCTTGGCTTATGGCGGCCACATATTCTGCAATATAAGGTGTACATATATTAATATTTATTTAGTGAAGTGACGACCCACATGTATTCTCAAATGAATAACATCACTTTTTTACCACACTATATTTTCATTTCTCATGTTTTTGGCCATTTTATTTGCTGAATTATCAACGTTGACATCATTATCGAATGACAATACCACAGCCGCTGGACTACGACATTACTTTTCCCAGTGTACCACCATGGATCGAATGGAATTCATTGCTCTAAATGACATTTGAACCTAAGGACATTAACACCTCCAATGTGAGAGGCAAATAAGCACTCAACCCATATGATTATGAAAACACGGTTCATAAATCTAAATTGGCAAAATGAGTTTGTTGCATGAGTTGGACTACACAAAATGCCATTTTGCAACAACACTGGTTCTGGTCTTGAAGTACATTCAGTGGGTAACGCTGTCTGCTTTCTTAATGTCGTGGAACCATAGTGTTAACACACACCACTGGATGCTGGGTTCACCTCTTTGCCAAGCCCAATTGTGCTCAAACGTGTTCATCGAAGTTGCGAAGGACCGGCAGTGTCATGGATGCTGGAGGTCGTTGCATCGGAGTCTTTGCAAACACTCTCCGGCTCACCCCAGAGATACACCAGTCCTCGGGTCGCCGTCAGCAGCACTGCTTTGGACGGGTGTTGAGACAGCGAAGACACGGGCGCTTGAGTCGGGTGCTTCAGCCTGTCAACCAGCGAACCTTCCACGAGGTTCCAGCAACAAACCTGACCGTCCTCGGAACCCGAATATACGTGCGAATCGTCCTGACTCAGACAGCAGTCAAGGTAGAACTGGGCATTCTTGTGGCCCGCGAACTGCTGCAACGATTGTCCCGACGTCTTGTCCAGGAGTCTGAGCAGGCCGCCGAGACAACTGACAAGCACGCACAGGCCGTCCCGGGTCAGCTGAACTCGCGTTGCCGGGCAACCGAGGGTGTCCTTGCTCATCTTACCCATTCGGAGGTCGTAACGACGCACGGAACCGTCTAGGGACGAAGTGACGATCTCGTGGTCTGTGGCTAGGACGCTGGTCACGGCGTCGCGGGCCTCCTTAAGAGCCTGCACGGGGTCGCGGGCTCGACTCCTGGTGTCCCAGCAGCAGACGCTGCAGTCGATGGAGCCCGATATGACGACTGATGAGTCCTCGTTGAAGCACACGGTCTGAACGGCGCCCGCGTGGCCTCGCCACTTTCGCGAGCTCTTGGCCGTCGTCACGTCCCAGAGGACGACGGACTTGTCGAGGCTGGCCGACGCTAAGGTCGCGTTGTCGCACGAACCGCGCACGTCGAGGACGTCACCCGCGTGGCCGAGGTACGTCTGTAGGAGCGAGCCTCGGAAAGGGTTCCACAGTTTGACGGTGCGGTCGCTGCCGCCGCTCAGGCAGTAGTTGCCGTCGGCGTTGAAGCGGACCGCGCGCACGGCGCCCTGCTTGCAGTCGAGCTGCTTGATGTTGAGGCTGGGAATGCCGGTCACCATGGTTACAGCGATAGCCGAGACGATCAGGTTATCGCGGCTAGAAAACGCCACTCATCGCTGAAATGGACGCAACGCAAGATCACGCAGCACAAGCGTCGTACAAGCTCCGAACTGGAGCAAAACACACATTTGCCGCTCCACAGAGCTTTGGCTAAAATGTGACTCGACTCGATGCGGCTATGTTTGCACTTTCGGTTTCCGCTCTCTCCGCAAATAGGCCGGTGTCTAGTTGGCCTATGAGTGTCTTTGCGTAACGTGTGTTATTGTTATCTGTTATTTGTTGAGGGTACGTAGGTTGAGTGCAGACGCAAACGATTAAGTCTCGATGTTTTATTACTTAGTAAGCGGTTCAACGAGAGATGAAATCGAGCAAGAAAACCAACATATTCTCCACTTGCATCGAATTTTTTACATTGTATGCGTGTAATGATGCGCGATAGCACGAAAGAGACCTTGGTTCTTATCAACTAGGCAATATAGGAGCAAGGACATACTCAAGGCATAGAGTTTATGGCCCAAGTTATTCGCTAAAATGTCATGGCACCGCCTTCATGCGTCAGCGGGCATTGAAAAATTCGCATGATAAAACACAATATCTCGTGGCTGTAAAGAATGTGTTTTATTTTTTTCTTTCTGAACGTATGTATAATTGAACATAATCAAGGGCATACTAAGCTTGTGGGGAAACTGGAAGTATTTTCATAAATTTCCACGTATTTCAAATATTAGCCCTCTAAATTCTCATATATTTTGAACGTAGCGGTGTGCCGTTGCTTGTGACCACATAGAGCTTTCGCTGTGAAAATTCACGAGCCTTTTCTTTATGGGGGAAATGGAAGCTAGTGGAGTTCGGCATCGGCGTGCCTTGCTGATGATGATGATGGCCTAAACGAATGGCTCTCACCCACTCTTGGGGATTGGCCAAGGAACGATTATTTAGATGCGGATCACATATCACTTTTAATCTAATGAATTTAAAAAATGGTTATAAGATATAAAATTTTACTAATTCAGAGATTTGTAATCAAAACCGCCTTGATTCGATTAAGAATCTGATTGCGATTTCCCTCTTCTTCTTTTCTCTCTCTCTCTTTTTTTGTTTGCTTGCTCCGCTGCGGCGGTCTAGTAGTTACTCGGCTGCTGACCCGCAGGTCGCGGGATCAAATCCCGGCTGCGGCGGTTGCATTTTTGATGGGTAAGAAAACGAACGTATTGTCCGCTCTCATCGAATGTTTCCCATTTTATGCGCGTAATCACGCGCGCACTTTCGATGGAGGCGAAAATGCTGTAGGGGGTGTGCTCATACTTGGATGCACGCAAAAAAAAAAAACAACCAAAGAACCCCATGTGGTCGAAATTTCCAGAGCCCTCCACTACGGCGTCTATCATAATCGTGTGGTGGGACGTAAAAGCCCACAAAAAATGGCGGCGGAAGACTTTTTTTTGTGTGTGTGTGTGTGTGGGGGGGGGGGGGGGGGGGCTGAGTTGGCTCGCCGACCTCCATGTTCTTTCCAGCGTCCGTCAGCCGCTAGAATGGCCCTACGAAACGACTTGACGCAAGCATGAGAACGTGGTTTTAGAAGTTCGATTTTCTAGAAGTCTGAGGAATGTTCCTGAAATGCGCCATATCACTTTTAGACCGCCAACGCAAAACATGTCAATGAAGCGGCTATAACAAATTATTCTCATAAGTAGTCTGCAATATTCCTACTATACGTACGATTACGAGAATCGTTAGTGTGCTTAGAAAAAGTGCTTAACGATCTAGAATACTCCGCACTCAACTATGGGCACTCAGCGCTTGCATAGACGGCGCCACGAACGCGGCGGCGTTCAGCGCCAACGCGGCCGTTTCCGCGTTAAAATGGGTTGATAGCGTTCCCTCCCATAGCACGCGCGCGGTTGTTTGTGCAAGCGAGTTGACGTCTGCGTGCGTTTGTCTGCAACTGCATGCAGGCTAGTTTTCAGGCTGGGTAATTTTTTTTTCAGAAACGCATACACTGATAAAGGGAAGGATTCCGTACGAGGCAGACCCTGCAGTGAGCAAGCATTTTATTCAATAGTAGCATTAAATTTCATAGCTTTTAATTTTGAAGCGCTCTCCCAGCTAGATGCCCTATTCACGCGACCTACGGCTGCAGAGTACGCGGCAAGTGCAAGAACCTACGACAGTGGCCGTGCGCACGCAACGATTCGAAAGTGACCCGAAAACAATTTCCGCAAGAGCTTCCTTTGAATGTCAGCCACAACCACCATGAAACAAGAATACTGTTGAGAAATAGAAAACTGATTTTTAGCACAAAGTTCTTTAAAGCGGACAAAAATAACACACGAGCATGACAAGCGCGAAACACATCTTTAAAGATAAAAGCTGGGAACCGAATACGTCTATGGAATCAAAGTAATAGATATCGCTGTCAAGCCTAAAGAACGTGTAGAACACATATAAATGCTATCGCGCCTTCCGTAGCGTTCACATGAGCGAGCTGTTCCAGCCTTCTTGTAATCTACTGCCGCGATTGAACCCGTGATATCCGTCAAGAGCCGCGCACTGTTCGACTACGGTGGGCCCCAAGGAAGACCGGTTTCGTGCACTGTTTTTCTATCAAAGCCTAGGCGTATTTATTGGCTTCCGCGCACAGCACAATGACATGATGTAAAAGTATGTATCGGGAGAACGTTGGGGCAGAACACAACGCCTGCCTGCACGTGGCGTCGATAAGGTCCTATATCTCGAAGCTCACCGCAACGAGTTATCAAGAGAGCGTGACGTTGAGGCGACTACCTTTCCTTTACTATACACTTGCAGTTGGCGAACAAACGCTATCCGCGCAATTTCCCCCTTGCAAAAATCGAGGCAACACTAGGAACAGCGACATGTTGGAACGTTAACATGCTTTAACTCGAGCCTGCGCGCCATGTCTTATCGCGACGAAGAAAATAGCGCGCGAGAAATTACATTTGTGACGTGTTGCGTTGCGTCATCAATCATAACCATGAGGAGTTGGGATGTCTCTAACCAGTTAGCTTTACGTTGCAGCGATAACAGTCTAACCACCTCACGTTCTTTGCAGCTTCGCGGTAAACGGCAGCGCGGATGAATATCCGCCTTGCCGTCTGTGTCAGCTAAGCACAGGGATTTCTGAAGTGCTCATCGCCCAGCCTTGGCGCGCTCGCCTTCTCTCGCTTTATTTCGTGCTGTGTAAATGCAGTGTTTCATGGAAAATATGAACGCACTAGTGAAGAAACTATACTTCTTGGCATGTTCTGCGTTTGTGGACCTGCTCCTTCTGCGAGTGGCTGCTGAGCGGTCTGTGAGGCTTAGTTCCGCAAATCTTTCCGACGTATAGGAATGGACGTCCCAGCTTGCGGGCGCGGCTATCGCTGCCTCATTTCTGCTTAGCTGCAGGAACGGACGTGATCGCCTTGCTGTGCTCTTGCCATTCCTTTGGATGGGCGGATTGGAAAAACCACAGGCATCCGCCATCGTCGAAGGTGAGTTCATTTTATTTTTTTTATTTATTTATTTAACAATACTGTCAATACCGTCAGGAATTTTTACAGGGGTGGGTTGGAAAGTGTCAACAAACATTCTATATTCACATACTTATACAATTGTATGGGTACAAAAAATCATGGTATAAAATAACAATTATGGACCTACATTATTAACGGGGCACATGTCTGTCACATGTGCACACAATGAAAAAAAAACACGAAAAAGAAAGAAAAAGGTAAGCACGCAACATACAAAGTTGGTACCGACTTACAACTTTTTAATCCACAAATGTGCTGGCGGGGAGGACAATGATAAGTACAATCCTGATAGCGTCGCTATCATGTAGCTGATAGAACGGCTTGGCCAGCAAGTTCGTAAAATTTGTTGACAGTGGGCTGCACAACCACCGCCTCTTTTATTTACCTCCACACCTTTTTATTCGAAAGCCATGGGGAAAAAAATGAAAACTCGTCTTTGTTGCTACACGGACTCAATGCGCGACATGTTTCAAAAATGCTTGGCTGCATTTGTGTTGAGACGCCATGCTTGAACAGTCCTAATGTTGGTCACAATTCCTCTTCACTTTGGAGCATTATTGACGCGCTTATTTGAGCTTGTTTCAAGGTACCCGCTAACGTTTGCATTCGAGCGCATGTACTTTTTTTTTGCGCCTTCAAAACTGCATGTGCCTGGTAATTACGACAGGCGAATTGTTACGACAGGTGTCGTGTTCGTTGTTTTAAAGTTCGCGGATAAAAAAAACGCAGCGACACAGTTCTTTTTTTTTTTGCACATTGCTATTTTCATGCTATGATAGTCTGCGTGGACTACTCTAGTCACGTTTCGAATGTGTGAGGGTGAGTGTTATATCGCCTAGAGTATAAAGTTGGGCATGTTGGTAAGACATAGTTGATCGTACAATCTGTTTTTGAGATCATAAGTTTTTAGCGCATGGCAATAGAGCGTTTTTCATCTGTTTAACTGTTGTCTTCGAATTTCGTGAGCATATATATGTACGCTCCTCGAAATAAAGATTTTGTTGGAAGTAAGCGCTCCCCACTGTCCCTTCTCTTGTCCTATGTTTCTAAACGCGCTACGTCGATCAACTATGTTATATCGCGTTTCGGGGCGAGGATTTATGTGTTGAAACAAATTTCCCGAGACCTCCACTACGGCGTCTCTCATAATAATTTGGTGGTTTTGGGATGATATAAAACCCAGATCAATCAAATAAGTGATGGTTGGTGCTTAAACAGAATAGGGAAGACGTGTTGCTGTGTGAACCTGATATGTAGCGCTTGTGTTTGTTAGGATGATATACTGTTAGCTAGTGCGACGCTGACAGTGTCCGTGGATGTTGCTTGCATAATTCTGATTGACCCGACGTGACGCCTGTCTCATGGTACAGTCGACCACATAAGTTTACGGACCACGCGAGCGTAAGGCCGAAAGCCTCTTCGCAACGCCTGCGCTGCGCCAGCGGCGATAGGCAGCACTGCAGCGCCCGAGACGCGTCCCTGCCTTAATCTATGGCCTGTCTGTTTCCTGACTCGGTACAAATAAATTGCACCTCTCACTTTTTAACACTACGCGCTTCAGGCATCTGTGTTTGCGTGCTTATGCCTCGAAAGCAGTTCATGAGCATGAGTGTTATCAGTGGCAATCCTTATCACAAAATGATACCTAACCAACGGAGCGCCTTTCGTGACACGCCGCGATAGCTCTGATCTTGCTATGAAGATAGAAAAGCGCTCGTGGGTTGTCTTTCTTTGCCTTCCGTTTCTAGCCTTCCGTGTGGTTTTCTTCCAGCACTTTTTGCGCTTGCGTTGCAATCCTTATTAGAATGAAATTTAACCAAATAGCCGTTCTTCTTAAATGAGATGGCCACTGCAGATCAGCGCTCCGCGTGAAAACTGCTAACTAACAATGCACTATGTTACCGTAGAAAATTGAGTCCAGTGAAGACCTGTTTCCGGCCTAGTTCTGCGGTCAACGGTAGATGGCGTACCGCTAGATGGCGCTGACAGGCACTTTGGCGCGTGCTCGCGTGGTCCGCAAACTTTTCTGGTTGACTGTACATATGCAATGTTTATAAAATTAGATAGCCAGCACGGCAAGACAAGTTACGTTTCGCCAACATTACGCCTGCATAGGGTCTTTTTTTTTAAAGCAGTTTCGAGACCCAGCGTGACCCTGTGGTACATCACTTGACTGCCGTGCGCAATAGGTGACCAGTAAAAAGATCGAGGGATTGTGGGATGCACCGTCTGCTACCGGCTTCGGGTTCGAGAAGAGTAGATGACGGCGAACCGCTTCACCGCAAGCCTCAGATTATTCAAGATTCGCGCGCGCGGTCGCCCGTTTATCTTCGTCCTATGGTCGGTTGTTATCTTCGAACTATGGTCGGTTGTTCAGCCGTTGGCTGCTACAACTCGAGCATGAAAGGCAAATGCAGGTATCAATTTCTATGTAATAAAGACAGAAAAACGAGCTAGGCTGCGACTGTGCAGAGAGCCACAGCGACAGGTAGCCTTTGAGTTCGGAACTTTGAAACCAGAATGTGCGAAAACCATTTTATCACAGGTACGTGTGTATTCCACACTAAAAAAAAGAGCATACGCATGAGTCTGCTGCGAATATTATATTGAGAAATACATTGTCGCGTAGGTGCACCTAGCAAAGATGGTATGGGAACGGGCGGGCGAAATATACTTGTCATGCGAGATTAGCGCCGGTCATTGCACCCATATATATTACAAAAAAAAACGCGAAAGCTTCACTCAAGAGTAAGTTTATACGAAGCGCTGGACGAGTTCATTTGCATTTATCTTGGTGAAACTGTGCGCCAGGACGGCACCCAAAGGAAGAAGTGCGTTAAACAAGTGCAGGGTTTCGATTATTCAGCGCCGTCTATGTCTGACTGTATTGTTTATATGCCGCCGTAAAGCGCAGCTTGACCAAGATCAGCGTTCAAATAACCATCGGGTTTCAACTAGAAAATGCATGTTATAGCGCGCTGAAGGCTAAAAAAAGACATCTCAGCGCGCTCAATAAGTGCTGTGCTTCAAGCCGATCTACCGACGATGTCGGCTGAAGCAGTGATCCCGAAATGAATTATCAGCACACTGCTACAGTCATCCCCATCCCCTGAGATCTTTAAAATGGTGATTTTTTATCTGCAGTAACGTATCATACAATGAAAACTGTCTTCTGTATACCAAATGATCTGCTGTCCAGACTGACAGTAACCCCGAGCAGCATAAAAGCATTGCAGATCAATTCAGTGCGATAAAGAAGTTTTCTTACCGTTCATGACTTTCGTAGCTTGTCATCGTCGCAGTAACTGTTAGCGAAAAATAACATCAACTTCTAAAGCACTGATATTGCACGGAGAGGTGCCCTTCTTAGTGGAGCGGTACAAAAATGCGCGCGCGCCGCTGCTAAGCCGCGTGGTGCGTCGAACCGGAAGCCATCGTATCCCACAGTTCCCTGCTATTTCCCATATTACCGGTCGCCTATTATTCGATTCTATTCCCGCTGGGACCCTGATACTTATCCTTCACGCCTGTTGGGTCGACGCTGCCGATGTCAGTATTTCTCGACGCTCTCGCAATTCAAATACCGATGTCCCATTCTCGCCGTCACTGGGTAGACACGAACCCTCCATCACCTGTGGCGCGTACCCGCATGCCTCGGCCCTTGGTATTTGTGGGTATGTGCCGCACACGTCTTAGGGAAAGAGTTTGATGACGTACGCGACGCGATTTTACCGTTGTTCATGTCATGGCCTTCCCGACATATTCCTCAGATGCTCTTGCCTTCCCATAAAAATTTTGGTCAACCCCCGCTTAAGGAGGCCGAAACCAGAGCGGCAAGACGTAGGCGGCTGAATGATAAATATATAGATACGTAGGTAGAAACTCTCGAAGTGCCGGCAGTCTGCTAAAAAATGATTCGCATTAAAACAAGAAACACTTGCTATGTGACGAGGCCTCTTCGCATCCCCCACACCCCTTTTTTTGGCCACTGAAATCCGCAAAGAACAAATATGAGAACATTTGGGCATCGATCTGAATGTGCAGCGAGGAGCAGCTTCTGGTAACTATACTGACGAACAAGAAAAGCACACCCGAAGAACAAGAAACAAGAACAACTTTATTCCAACACGGGGTGTCACAGAGGCCAAGTCTCGGCAGACCACTCAGTCCACTACCCGGTCGGAGAATACAGTTTCGTTGAGATCGAACACTATGTCATATAGGCTGCGCAACCGCGTAAGGATGTCGTCATACTCGAACCTAATCGTGCGGCCTCCGAATGGATCAGTCCCTTCGCGAAGCATTCGTTCCATCTGGATCCGTACAGTCTCCACGTACGTGTCGTACATCTCCACAAACGTCCTGAGGACGACCTTTCTGAGCTCGGGCGCGTACGACGAGGCCGGATCCAGGGCGGCCTCGACCTCGTCGCCAACAGCCACCCTGAGGGTCTCGTGGAGCAAGTAGTCGTTGTATGCTTCGGTGTCGTCCGTTCTGCCCTTGACCAGAGACGGGACGTTGTGGTACGGCTCGTCCGTCATGATGGACTGTAGGGCGATTAGCACCGTCCTCAGGCTGTGCACCGAAGAGTTCCACACGGGTCCCGGCCACGTCCCCAGGAGAGACAGGCAGATCATGCCGTCTTCGTTGAGGTTCGGTGCGAACCGGACTTGTCCGTCGCCGGTAGTCAGGAGTTTGACGAGAGGTGGCCTAGCCGGGAAGTCTGGTGGGCACTTCAGGACAAACCGGAAGAAGCCACCTTCGTAAGGCGTACCCGGAGGCCCCAGCAAGAGGCCGTGGATCCTGGTGACGTCCTTCTCGACCGGTGTGATGACGACTCCGGAAACGGGTAGAGCGTAGACATCCAGGATGTCCCGCCTGACCTTTTGCAGACATTGGTCCGACGGTGTTCCGACATTCAGCTGGCGGGGTGCCGTCGGGTCCCAGAAGTTGAGATCGGGCGTGAAGTTGACTTCCTCGACGTCACTCGTCGCGTCCTCGCCAGTGGTGGCCATTGCTGCCGTTTGGACCGTGACGTGGCGTACCGAAGAGTCTGGCGACGTTCTGTTGACGTAGCTCGGGCTTTTTTTGCTGGCAGCGCGCGTGCGGGAAATCTTCATTCTCTTTCTTTTGCTGTATTACACGTCGGGGATTAAACTACGGTGATGAAGATGAAGTGATGCCCTTCAGTTGCTTGGTTGGTTAGAATATACTGTCTGGTCTGAATGGCAAAAAACAATTATTGCACTAGTTTTGTTTTAGTTACGTTCTTTCTTCCTTCCGTTATGAGTGTTGATATTTGAAAGATCTAAAAATTATATAATCAATTCTTGGCCAAACTCTGAAGGTGGTTGCTTTCTTACAAAAAATGCAACCCACTATGTCGGTTAGGTGGCAGGAGGGAAATGCCATTTGAAGGAAGGTCTTTCTCATTTGCTACATATCGGTCACTTCCGAATGGGGAATTGGCACCGGGATTTGAGAAGCACATCGATGCTGACCTCCAGAGTAAATGAAATCGGGATGAGGATTATGAGAAGTAGGGCTTTTGTTTCACAGTTATATTCGAGCAGTAGGTAAGCACAGGAAGTTCCGCAAAAAAGTGTGAGACTGGAGTAGCGTCTGTGTAAATTTGCAATACATTAATCAATGAGTTAATATGGATTCATACTTGTGTGTGCGCTTCACGACATTTTGGACGATAGACGAATAATGTAGACAGTGGACAACGTCAGGTGCCCCTAAAACATCTGTTGAAGCCGCTTCACTGATTGAAGACCGCGAAGGCTCGTTAAGTGGCGGCATCATCACACTATTTCATTCTGTGACTTTGTTATACACTAGCTTGTTTGACTTGAACGTCTTCATCTTCTGCCCTCCAATTTCACCCGGCTTCGGTATCGAATTCCCGTTGATGGTCCCGCCGGGCAGCTTCTGCCGGAGAGCTCACGACTTCAGCCCTCACCGGAAAGTCTAGCTATAGACAAGTTCTTCAAATTCAGCGCACCAGAGCATGACTTCGCACTCAGCAGACATTCTAGACAAGTTTGTTATTTTTAGTGCACCAAGGCACGACTTCAGCCCTCACCGAACATTCCAGTTATGAACAAGTTCGTGATTTTTGGTCCACCAGGCCACGAGCCCTCACAAGACATTCTAGTTGTGGACAAGTTTGTAAATTTTAGTGCACCAGGGCACGATATTAGGCCTCACCGGACGGTCTATAGTTAAAGATATGCTCTTCATTTTTACTGCATCGGAGGGAAGTAGTGGCGCCTCCCAATTTCGGCGGAACATAACCGCTAGGCGCTAGCGCGAAAGATGCACACTTTTCAACGTCTACCTTAAACAGCTATGTGGCTCAGGAACATAAATTGACTGATGTTATTTCCTATTGCGATTATGTAACGGCGTCCTGTTGAAGCCTTGCCGTAGAGATGTGGCGTGCGCATCCATCAATAAATAAATCAATCAGTCAGTCAATAAAAGAGGATGACTTGTATTTTAGGTATGGTGGTCCCATGCCGCCAATTTCTTACGGGGTAAGCGCCCCTCCTAGCGACTATGAACTTCGCTCTGCCGAGCACCAGGCCAAAAGTGCGCTTGTACCTATTATCAGTAGGGGCCTGGCGACAGCAGTGCTCTGCCTCCCACAGCAGCGGCGGATGCTCAACTATTTCAACAAGGCTGTTGTGGATTAAGGTACGCCCAGGGGCCTTCGCAGAACCTTACAAGGCTACCTATCGAGATGAGTGCCCATAAACAACCGAGTGCCAGGTCGGTGTACTCCTCTACCCATTGGCGAAAACTGGTGAGTTCCCGGTAGGCGATGGGAATCGAATCTGGTACCTCCCGCATTGTAAGTAGACGCTCTAAATTTGTAGCTACCGCTGTGGTTAAAAAGGTTTAAAAAGGTTACGGCCTGCCACACAGTATCCCTCCGTTTATACACGGATAAACCAGATCCGGGCACGTTCCTAGAAGAGGGCAAATAAGTCCCAACTGCTCCCTTTTACGTTAAATCAACGTCGGCCTCCCACCGATGTGGGAACCCTTCCACGCACACGGCTGCATACCTGCCGTGCGCTCAAGAAGGCAAGGACGCACAACTCACGAATGCCCATCCGTGGACATCTCTTCCCGGGTGCCCGCACGCATCACCGAGGTTGCAAATCCCGAAGGGACAGCAAGCTCTCTGCACATGTTTAAAGCGTTGACCACCGAAACTCGCAAAGGAAGACCTTCCACAAGACGGTGGTGTCTCGGGCCAACGCACACCAAAATGTGGGGATACTCCCGAGCTCGAAGGCCCGCGTTAACTTTCTTGCCCACTTAGCCATTGGAAAGCAATGTCGCCCGTGGCGCCCACATGGATGGAGAGAGAGTTTAAGCACAGGCAGCGCTTCCTCAGGACCACTTCAGATTACACGGGAACACCACCTTCAGCAGCGAAATGGCCTGTGATCTGTGGACTTCTCCACACCACGGTGTCCTGCAAAGACCCATGTGCACCAGTTCATTGATCCACCAGAAGCCACACACACAAAGTGAACGATGTGTGATGGGATACGCACCTCCTCCTAGTAGACAATAGATTACAGAGGGGCGCAACTGTCTCCAGTGATATAGTGCGCAGTACATCACCCGCCTGAGCGCACTGACTCCAAAGCAGCTGGATTACAAAGGAACGCCACTCTCTCCAGCATCAGCATCTGCAGAGACGACTTCAACAACTTACCTGGGCACACGGCCTAAGAAGGGCAACCGTGATGCCCCGTGGGACAAGTCCCACGGGTAAAGATTCACCCGAGATCAAGACAGTCAGTCGAACTAACCAGCAATCAACCAAACGAACTAACTAAATAAAACACTAGGATATCACATGATTACAAAAAAATGAGCTTATCCCAGTTACAGAGCTACAGTATAAACGGCGGTCATGTGGATCATGCTTGCCGGTAACGTGGTGTGGGTAAGCGTCACGCGGTATCAGTCGACGTCTCACTGGTGATCGCAGGGTAGGATCACGTATAATCCGATCAAATCACGCATCGATCACGTATAATCTAATCTGACTCGTTGCAAGCGACGCGGCAGCTTGAGAGGGCATTCGCTCCCTCGCATGTGCGCTTCCAAATAACTTATAACGTTCTGTGTGCATAATTCGTCGCCTTCTCGCGAGCATTAACACGTAATTCCGACTGGCGATCTTCCTGTTGTTACGTCATACACCGTTGTCTTGATCGATTCGTTAGCCGGCTAGCCGTTCGCTCTATACTTGGCTCGACTGCGAACGTCTTTACCAGTATTGATCGGCGCTGTGCCACCGGAATCCATCGCAGTATGGCATTGAGATGGAGAGCCCCAATTTTCAGAATCTCCAGTAAATCAATGGAATTGATCGTTCCGGTAAACAAGCCATAGAGAGTGCGAGAGACTGTGTAAAAACATCAGGTGTATCGTTATCTCGACACCCCCTCTCTTGCAATTCTCGTCGGTAATTGAAAATGAGTGTCGGTGCTTCATCATAATGTAGTGGAAGTGATGTGATATGATGACAGCGTTATTTAAGAAAAAGAGCAAACGCGGAATGCTACCGATCGATTCCCTAGTTTTTCCCGAGCCCGTTAATAAAGTCACGAGTCGGATTGTTCATTAATAAACTGTGAAACGGTAAATCGATAAAGTAGTCGATTTTTGTAGCTTAGCTAGCTGAATATAGACTCTGTACAAGAGAAATATGGACTAATTGGAGAAAGTACGCACTATACAGGGACATGGTATCGCTATCACGTTCAACTTTTAAAGGCGAAGCCTAGGATAGCTCCAATTTCTTTATTTCACATTCTCAAGTTGTGTCTTTCGCCAAAGTTTGCGTGCGAACGATAGTTATAGCGCGAGCACAAAACGACAACACAGAGACAAGAAGGACACGAAGGACAGCGCGAGCACAAAACGACAACACAGAGACAAGAAGGACACGAAGGACCTTCTTGTCTCTGTGTCATCGTTTTGTTCTCGCGCTCTAACTATCGTCATGCCATACCAACTAGCCCAAGCTGCCACACTTCTAAGTTGCATGCAAAGGTATACGTTCCAAAATGAAGCATCTCGACATGCTCGAGATGAGTTCTGCCAGGAACGCCCACAGCACATCGTACAACCAACTGGACACGGGTCCGCATTATCAAATTATTAATATTATCTGGAGTTTTGCGTCTCAAAACTACGGCATGATTATGAGAGGTGCCGTAGCGGAAGGCTCTAGAAATATTGACCATTTAGTGTTCTTTAACGTGCACTTACATTTCCGATGGAGGCGGAAATGTTGTAGGCCCGTGTGCTCAGATTTGGGTGCACGTTAAAGAACCCCAGGTGGTCGAAATTTCCGGAGCCCTCCACTACGGCGTCTCTCATAATCATGTAGTGGTTTTGGGACGTTAAACCCCACAAATCAATCAATCAAATCGAAATTGGATAGCTAGCACGGCAACTGCATCAACATATCATGAACATTAGGGTCTATTTGAAAATTATAGCTCTTAGAATTGTCGTGACTCTGTGGTAGAATGCTAGAATTGCCACGCGGACCGCTTGGGTGCGATTCTTGCTGGGATTCTCAAGCCATTGCAATAGCAATACGCTTACGTATTTTACTACATAGTGGTACCCTACAGAAACCAAGTGAATATCAGATGCTCCCATCGTAGGGACAAGCCGTTGCATATTCTTTTCTGCGTACCTTCATCCTTGATGCTTCAGTGTCGGCCGGCTCCCTTGGGACGCTGATATTTATTTTTTGCATTCGTCGGGTCAACGCTGCTGATGTTACCTTTTTTTTTTCATAACAATCACGCGTTAAAATTACCGATGTGTTTTCCAGTCATTCCTGGGTAGATACTGAGTGTCAATTACCTTTGGCACATACCAGCATATTAGTGGCACATACCCGACCACGGGTATGTTCCACTGTTTGTTGGGAAGGGTTCTATGATGTACGCGACGGGATTCATGT